TAATCAAAATCCCAATGGAGTTTAAGCTCATACAATTTTACAAGTTAGATAAAGTGATACATCTAGCAACATTTCACATGGAGTGAGTTATACAATTCAGAGGACCAGAAAGGAAAGCTGGCCTTCCAACTCATGCCACTTGAAATTTTAGAATGTTTTAAAAATCTTTTAAACTAGATTCTAAGTTCCCAAAACCTAAGAAGATTTTATCATCTTGATGTGGGACTGTGTACCTAAACAAGGCAGAATAGCCAGACACTATAAAGTAAAGTTCAGACATAACATTACATACGATATAAAATTTTAATGGCAAAAGAGATAATAAATCTCAAAAGACAAACAACAGATTATAAGAAAGTGCTTCCAAAATAAAACACCAACATCTAAAGGGTACAAATTGATAAGGAGAGGATAATTCAAACAGAATGAGCAGGCAAACAAAGACAGGACGGTCAACTCTACGTGTAGTCTAGGGAATGCAAGTGAACTATTCATACAGATCAACAAACACACATGGAAATAACCAATGCCAAAGATGAAGATGGGAAAGCAGGATTTTCAAACTCAGAGCAATATTAGCTGCTGTAACTTTTTTGGAATTCTTATCCTGCATGATACATGGAAACTGATTTTTGCCTCCTTGTCCCAGCAATACCATTTTATGATCTCTATCCTTTAGAAATATTAGCTCAAGCATGGAAGGCGCTATAAGCAAGGTACTTCGGCACTTCATGGTGGGAAAAGGCAGAGATCAATATAATCCAAAGGGACTATTACATGAATGATGATATCTCTGTGCTACACAAGCTAGATCAACAATTATTATTTGCTTATAATAATTACTTATATTATGGTAAGCTTATCTTTGTATACTTGCCAAGCAACATGTATGCATCTTAAAAAAAAACATAGAAAATACATACAAAAAATGTTTAAACATTTATTTTGCTCTACAAGAAAAGCAGTGACAGAGGAGGATATATCATTCATCTGCTGGTTCACTCCCCAATTTTATCTTTAAATCTTATCCAAAAAGCTTTGTAAAAGAAAAATTGTAAATTCAAACTGAATGTAACTTTCATATATAAATGACTTGTAACATGAATTTTGGACCAACAGATTGGTTTCAACTGTTGACCTCTACACAATTATGCGTAAATAAGTTAGAAAGTGACATGTTTAGATACTGTTTCTAACACAAAATACTAACAATTAGAATATATAAAGAACTAATTTAAAAATTTCTGTATACATTAAAACCTACCGATTCAAACTTTATTAATTTGGAAGGGGGAAACAAATATATCCCCTCTGCTGGTTTTCCTTGCCGAAGTGTCCAAAACAGTTGAGGCTGGACCAGGCACAACCATGAGCTGGGAGCACAATCCAGTTACCCAGGTGAGGAGTGGCAGGGGACTTGAGTACTTGAGCCATCACCTGCTGTGCCCCAGGAAGCAAGAGTCAGGAGTGGAAGTGGGACTTGGCGTCCCAAGCGGTGGTTCAGCACGGCCCCAAATGCCTACCCTTGAGCTGTATACTTATACATGTAAGGGATCTTGTTTCTGTCAAGGGCCATTTGGATTTTATAACACAATTTAAGAATCACACCTAATTATCACCTAAAAATTAACCTGCCTGGCTTAGTGAATTTCATGTTTGCCTGCAATTCCCTTGGCAGAGCCAGAGATTAAATGATTTTGTGGACCTTTCATGGCCTGTGGGCTGGACCTTCCCCACTCCTGCAACAAGGTGCACATTATCTTAATAATTGAAAAACAAATTATTTGAACCATAAGACAAAGATTGGACAAAGGACTCAAGGAGCCAACCTAAAGATGAAAACCAAATCTAATCTTCCAGATTAGTGAGTTTGCATTCTGGTAATTACCTATAGGAGCGATCCCAGATGGTAGAAATCAAGACTGCTAGAGCAACACCTGGGAGCTAACAAAAACCCACGAGAAACCCATGACCTAAGAACATACATGGAGAGCAGAGCACAGGACGCGATACCTGTGAATACGGGACGGGAAGTTTAACAGAAGTTATCCTCAGACTGCTTTTGTTACAGGAAGCAACTCGTAGCAGAGACTGTTAATAAAAAAGGTTGGCATTGGTTTGAGTCCTAAGTGGAAGATGAGGACTATAGTGTAAATTAGCAAAGAAAAAGAGGGACTGGTGTTGGCATGCAGCAGACTAAGCTGCCACTTGATTTTAATTTCAGCCACTCTGTTTCTGAGCTGGTGCCCTGAAAAGCAACTCGGGAAAGCAGAAGACTGGTGAAGTAATTGGGCCCCTATAATCCACGTGAGAGACCCAGATGAAAGTTCCTGGCTCCTGGCTTAAACCTGGACTAGTTATTGTGGTCATCTGGAGAATCAATCATTGGATGGAAGATCTCTATCTGCCTGCCTGTCTTCCTCCATGCCTTTCAAAAACAATTTACAGGGGCCTGGCGTGGTAGCCTAGCAGCTAAAGTCCTTGCCTTGAACATCTCAGGACCTCATATGGGCGGGCACCAGTTCTAATCCCAGCAGCCCCACTTCCCTTCCAGCTCCATGCTTGTGGCCTGGGAAAGCAGTCGAGATGGCTCAAAGCTGTAGGACCTGCATGGGAGAGGAGAAAAGGCTCTGGGCATCTGGATTCAGATCGGCACAGCTCCAACCATTGTGGTCACTTGGGGGTGAATCAAAGGATGGAAGATCTTCCTCCCTGTCTCTCCTACTTTCTGTATATCTGACTTTCCAATAAAAATAAATAAATCTGGGTCTGGCGCAGTAGCCTGGTGGCTAAAGTCCTTGCCTTCCATGCACCAGGATCCCATATGGGCGCTGGTTCTAATCTCAGTGGCCCCACTTCCTATCCAGCTCCCTGCTTGTGGCCTGGGAAGGCAGAGGAAGATGGCCCAAAGCCTTGTGGTCCTGAACCCACGTAGGAAACCCAGAAGAGGCTCTGGGTTCCTGACTTCGGATTGGCTCAGCTCCAGCTGTTGCGGCCGCTTGGGGAGTGAATCAATGGATGGAAGATCTTCTTCTCTTGTCTCTCCTCCTCTGTATATTTAACTTTCCAAAAAAAAATGAAATAAATCTTTAAAAAAATTTATAAAATCCTTAAGAGAAAAAAAAGATGCAATGTGAGAACAGGGTGCTTGAACCTGACACTACAGAAGGGTTTTAGTAATGAAATGATACAGGAGTGAGTGGCTAAGGCCAATCTTGCTATTCAAGATCATGAGTGGTCCCTCTCAACTATGCAAACATTATTTTAAAAAAAGGATCATGTGTAGAGGTCAGGGACTGCCAGGTAGCAACCAAAGAGTGTGAGACAGTTCAAAATCTCTGGGAACAAGGAGTGAACCAGTGATGGCGGATGAAGACAGTTACATGCAAGGAAAAAACCAAACAATCCTTTCCTAAACAAGCAAGCAAATGAATAAATAAATGTAAACAGTAAGTTATATAAGCCAATTTTAATCTATTAAACTATCAACCAAAAGTTTATACAATGTGCATCTTAACAGATTAATTGCAGGTTAAGTGTTTTAAAGCTCTCTATACTCTTACTATACTTTAATTTTTATAATATAATATACTTTTGTTATACTATATTACTTGTATACCCTATATGTTTATTTTTATATACATAGTACATATAATCTTTCAGAAAAATAACAATACATGCTTATTTAGTATACACATACTGATTTCTTGGATAGAAATATTCAGTAGACACACGATCATTTAGATTCTGGCTGTTTTATGAAGGTAACACCACCATTTTAGCCAATATCACTCATGTTTCTAAAATCAGTGGCACAGGGACAGTGTTGTGGTGTAGTAGGTGAAGCCACCACCAGTGGATGATGGTGTGAATTCCTACTGCTCCACTTCTCATCCTGCTGATGGACCAGGAAAGGCACAAGATTGTGCCAAGTTCTGAGGGCGCCTCTGGTCACTGCAGCCTTTTGGAGAGTTACCCAGCAGATGAAAATATTTTTCTAACTCTGATTTCAAATAACTACTCTTAAAAAATAGCTGACAGCTCAAACATATCTCAAAGGTTTTGTCAGATTAATTATAAAAATAAACCAAGAAAACATTTTTTTATCTGTAATACATGAGTTGGAATTTTACTTCAGATGGTATCAGAATAGTGCCTGAATCATGTTACACTTCAAGAGCTCAAAATTTTAAAATACATGATTCTGAGTTACACATAACTAACACCTGAAAATGTTAAAAAAAATTTTACAGAATATTTAAATAAGAATGTAAGTAAAATTTATAAAAATTCATTGTAATCAAATACCAAGTTCCTATATAAACTTTCTCTTACAGTGTCCTCTGCATCAAAATTAACATCTTCTAAGTCATAGGTAAAATACTGTGTCTTTAGATTTCAACATAAATTTTGAATATGGAACCAACAGACTCTGATCTAACCTGTCTAGAAAACCAAGTTTCATTTGTTAGAAGCTCTAAATACTTTTGAAGGCAGATAACTACTTTTTTTGAAAGATAAAAACCGAGCAGGAGTTATTGCTTTTGACATTTTCATGTATTTTTGAACATGCAAAACTGTCTTTCTTCTATTTTCATTTTTCTTGTATGAAATGTACCACACAACTATTGATAGAATGGATAACATCTGGGACTTTATTCATTTTTTTAAGGATCTAAATTTGTAAAAGTTCCTATAAATTATCATTTAAAAAATGAACATAGGGGGCCTGTTCTAATCCTGGCAGCTCCACTTCCCATCCAGCTCCCTGTGGCCTGGGAAAGCAGTTGGGAACGGCCCAAAGCCTTGAACCCTGCACCTGTGTGGGAGACATGGAGGAAGTTCCTGGCTCCTGGCTTTGGATCGGCACAGCACCGGCATTGCAGCCTCTTGGGGAGAGAATCATCGAATGGAAGATCTTCCTCTCTGTTTCTCCTCCTCTCTGTACATCCGCCTTTCCAATAAAAATAAATAAATCTTTAAAAAAATGAGCATAGAGCTATTAAAAATGTAAGTGAAATTGTTTAATCATTTTAGAGCAGTCAAAATACAATATAAGATTGATATCTTGGTGTCTGCAAGCAATCATTTTACCATATGCATTTAAACCTTTTGTATCCTTCGTTTTAATCAAAGTTGTTTTCAAACATTGTCATAATGTCGCTTTGAAGAGTCATGTCAATGGTACCCGCCATCTGTAAAAAGGGAAAAGTTTATCGTTACTTTAAATATGCATGTCATTATCACATCTATATATGAAATGATTACAAAACATTTTGGAACATGTAAACTAAAAGCAGTTCATTTCAAATAATGAATCTGTCGATATTTTAAAACTTCTATTCTCACATTATTGATTTTTACTAATATAATTGCTCATGTAAGAAAAATCAAAATGTGAGAAAATTAAGTTTGACTCCTCTCTCCAAGGAAGAAATCTCTCAGTACATGTTCTTTTGTTTTTGAAATCAACACAATGCTAGACACATAAAATTATTCTCGGAATGAGCCACTATTTTATCTATTTGAGAGAATCACAATGTGTAATGTTAAGGTAAAGAGTTTCCTTGATTTTGTCACTTATTGTGTAAAAGAAGAATAATTATTCTAATCAAGTTTTTTCTATGTAAAAATATTCATGAAGAATGAATCAGTTTGCTAGCATAATACATAGCACAACACTTAATTTAAATAAACCATCCATCATAATATAAGTGCTAGGGAAGAAAAATAAATTAAAGGAATTCAAATTGGAAATGAAGAATTGAAATTATTCCTACTTGCAGATGACATGATTCTCTACAAAGGAGAACCAAAACACCCAATCAAAAGATGAATGAGGGCCCGGCAGTGTGGCCTAGCAGCTAAAGTCCTCACCTTGAACGCACCGGGATCCCATATGGTTGCCGGTTCTAATCCCGGCAGCTCCACTTCCCATCTAGCTCCCTGCTTGTGGTCTGGGAAAACAGTCAAGGACGGCCCAAAGCTTTGGGACCCTGACCCGTGTGGGATACCCGGAAGAAGTTCCTGGATCCTGGCTTTGGATCCGCATAGCACCAGCCGTTGTGCTCATTGGGGAATTAATCATCGGACGGAAGATCTTCCTCTCTGTCTCTCCTCCTCTCTGTATATCTGACTTTCCAATAAATAAATAAATCTTAAAAAAAAAGACAAATGAAACTCATTAGAGACTTTGGCAGACTAGCAGGATACAAAATTAAGGAACACAAATCAATGGCACTATTATAGACAAGTAACTCCACGGCTGAAAAAGAAATTATAAATACAATCCCCTTTAAAATATTGGAGAAGAACCCTAAATAACCTCGAAATTAATTTAACCAAATATGTGGAAGCTCTCTGTGATGAAAATTGTAAAACATTTAAAAAAGAAAGAAAGAAATAGAAGAAGACATTAAAGGATGGAGAAATTTACCATGTTCCTGGATCAGCAGGATCAACATCATCAAACTATCCATATTACCAAAAGTAATATACAGATTCAATGTGATACCAATCAAAATCCTACAACATTCTTCTCAGAAACAGAAGATAAAAAAAGTTCATCTGGAAACAAAAGACTAAGAATAGCCAACACTATCTTGAAGAATAAAAATCAAGCTGGAGGAATCACAATTTCAGAATTCAAGACATACTACAGAGCAGTGGTCATCAAAACAGTTTTATACTGGTACAGACTCAGAGATCATCATCAATGGAACAGAATAGAAGCACCAGAACAGAGCCCATTCATGTATAGACAACTAATCTTTGACAAGAAAACTGAAAACAATCCAGGGAAAAAGTCTGGTCTCTTCAACAAATGCTGTTGGGGCAACTGGAAAGCAGCCTGCAGAGGTAAGAAGATCCACACCTGTTGCAGTATACAAGACTCAGCTCTAAATGGATCAAGAACCTAAATCTGCACCCAGGAACCATCAAACTATTAAAGGAAAACATAGGAAGCACACTATAAGATTCAGGAATGGGGAGAGACTTCTTGGAATAGAAACCAAAAGTACAGGCCAAAATAAATAAATGGAACTACATCAAACTAAAACGCTTCTGTACTGCAAAGGAAACAACGAAAAACATGGAGAAGAAACCAATGAAATGGGAGAAAATTTCTGCACACTACAAGTGATAGGAAACTAATACCAAGGATTTACAAAGAGCTTCAGAAACCCAGGGACAGAAAAAGAATCAACCCTGTAACAAACTGGGCAAAGGAAATAAACATTTTTCAAAAGAACATATTCAGATGGCTAATGGACATACGGAAAAATGCTCAAACTTCATAGCCATCAGGGAAATACAAATGAAAACCACATTAAGGTTCCACCTAACTCCAGTGAGATTGGCTTACATTCAGAACTCCTCTAACAACACGTGCTGGCGTGGATGTGGGGAGAAAGATGCCTGCCTTCATTGTAAGTGGGAGTGTAGGGTAGTACAATCAGTATGGACATCAATATGGAGAGTGCTAAGAGAACTGAAAATCCTGGGAATATATCCAAAGGAAATGAGGTCTACATGTGAGAAAGCCTGTAATCCTATATTCACAGCAGCACAATCTACAATATCAAGGACATGGAAACAACACAGATGCCGGCTCAAAGAGGAGTGGATAAAGAAACTGGTATATCTACTCAATGGAATACTATTCAGCCATCAAAAACAATGAAATTCTACCATGTGCAACCAAATGGAAATTTTTTATTTCGACAATCTTTACATAGTTAATTAGGGTAAAAAAAGTTCAAGGGCTACAGGAAAGTGGGTAACACTAGTATTTTTTCCATATTGTTTCCTTCACGATTAAAGGGGGGGTATTAAGGGAGAAGGCCCACACAATTTCCCACCCTTCCCCAGTCCTGGATGTAGGGTATGCACTGAGGTTCTTGCTCAAGTGGTTTTGATATTTCAACAGTTATGAACTGCTGCCAATCTTGCCACTCCAAGCACTATGAGGTCCTTGAAGAATTCACTGATTGACATAGTCCATCACAGCTGAGATGGTTGGTTGAACTGTTCTGTCTTCTCTCTTTTTTTGGTTAGGGTTCTGAGTCCAGCATTTTGATTAGAGAGATCTCCAAAGAAACTGTCTGAGGTGTGCTCAAACCAGATTCTTGTATGTGCTAGCAAGTACAGGGCACGGTACAGTCCATAGATCAGCTGGTAGTTGTAATTGCTGGGTTGGTTCTGTTTTCACTCCCGACTTCCACTGGAACCAATGGGTGTTGCAATCCAGCCTGGTTCTGTCCAGCACATACTTAGCCCTCACATAAACCATTGTGAGCTGCAGTCTAGTTGGAGTGACCCACAATAACCCCCACCAGGCCAGCCCCCTACCCTGGTTTGCCAGTATGTGTAGCAGTAATCCGGTCTGTCCCACACCCCATTCCACCCCAGCCCCTGTCCTAGTTTAATGCCCTCCCGTGGAAGTGGTAACCTAAGAGGAAGGAGCCCACTATTTCCCTCCCAGGCCTCTCCCACTCCTGGATGATGCACTCTCCAGATAGTTCTGTGGTTTGACTTGACAGAACTAGCCCCCAGTGCCAGCCTCTGCCAGCTGATGCTGCGGCTAAGCCCAACCAACCTTCACCCATTCTAATTTTGTTTGCACCAATAGGAATAATCAGCCCAGCCCAGCTTTTCCCTGATCTAGTCCACATGAGGCGCACAGGTGTTGTAGCCCTGCCTAGTCTGGTCTGCCCCCAACCCAGCTCATGCTCTCCTGCGGGAGTAGCTGTCCAGCAGGGGAACCTCCCCCCATGTTCCCCTGCCGGCTCTGCCCTCTCCCTTTCTGGTTCTCATGCTTGCTGGTTGGGCACTGCGGTCCCTTCCGGTACAGGTAACCTCACCTTGGCATTCCATATTGTGCACTGAGTTTTGTCGTGACCGAACCCGGCTCAACCCTCACTCTGTTCTGGTGCTTGGATTTGCCAGTGGATGATGTGGACAGATTCAGCCTGGTCTCTCCCCGACCCCTGTCAATTGTATGCCAGTGGGAAACTTTCCATGGCCTGTTCTGGGCTGTTTCCTATCATGCTTCTTGTGCTTACCTGAGGGGTCTGTATCCTGCCAGAGGAGTTGCCCAGGCTCCTCCATCAGAACCTCTCCCAGTGCCAGGTCTCATGCTTACCAGTGGCGTCCATGAGCCAGCCCTACTCAGTCCACCTCCTGTCATAGCAGGAACAGTGGCCTTTCCTGACTGACCTTCAACCCAAACTGGTCCTTGCTGTTGGATGTTTCAGCCCAGCCATGGCTTGTCCATACCCACATATGGCTCACACATGGCTCAGTAGGGGTTTGCCTAGTCCATCCCACATCTACCCTGGTCCTCCAGGACACCAGAGGGTGTTGGAGTCTGGCCCTGTTCGGTGCATCCAATCCCAGTCCACACTTGTGCCAAGGGAGACTACAACCGTATCCTGATCAGACACAGCCCCCATTCCAGCCCATGCACCCCTTGGTGGGAACCTCAACCCAGCTAGGGTATCCCCTTAGCTCCCCAACTGGGCCTGTTCCCAGCCATATATCACTCGCATGCCAGTGGTTGCTCTGACTCAGCTTGGCACAGCCCCTCACCTGTCCTAATCTCTGCCTTAGACACTGTGGCTTAGCATTCCTGGCTCACGCAGACCAGTAGGTACAAGAGCCTAGCTCGGCATGACCTGTGCTCCAGCCTGGTTTCTAGTTTTGCTTGTGGGCTAAGGTTTGCTCAGTCCTGCCTGATCTACCCTGTTCCATTACCAATTGACACATCTGCCAGCTGTTGGAGCTACTTTGCCCAGCTTGTCCAAGCCCCAGGTCTGGACCACATTTTTACCAGTGGGAGCTATGACCTGCCAGGGGAGTTTCCCAAGTTCCTCCACTTGATCCACTCCCAGACCCAGTTCTCATACATGCCATTGGCTTTAGGCCAGTGCCCGGCACAGTCTGGCCTTCCACCAAATGGAAATAATTTGTATTGAAACCAACATGCCAGCCAAAGCCAATGACTCTGCCCCCCCCCCATAAACCTACGTTTTATCTGTCGTAAGAATTCACATGTTTTGTCAAGCAAAAATATCAGGGCCCAGTGCAATTGACTCTATTGGTTAATCCTTTGCATTGCAAGGACTGGGAACCCATTTGGGTGCTGGTTTGTCTCCCAGCTGCCCCACTTCCCATCTAGCTTATTGCTTGTTGTTTGGGAAGGCAGTTGAGGATGGCCCAAAGCCTCGGATGACCCTGTACCCATAGGGGAGACCTGGAAGACGTAGAATGTTATTCATATAGAGACAAATTGATCAACTGAAAATGACCTGGAACTGACATAGATATTAAAGCTAGCAGGGAAACCCTTTACAATACAAACAAGGTTAATAGTGACATAAAAAATATTTTAAGACCCAAATCAAACCTCTAGAGTTAACAACAGCATCTAACACAGAAAATTCACTTGATGTGATTACCCAAGAGAGTGGAGAGTACGCATTAGTGCTTTGGTTCAAAACAGATGTAAGGGCCCGGTGGCGTGGCCTAGCAGCTAAAGTCCTCGCCTTGAACACCAGGATCCCATATGGGGTCCAGTTCTAATCCCAGCACCTCCACTTCCCATTCAGCTCCCTGCTTGTGTCCTGGGAAAGCAGTTGGGGATGGCCCAAAGCTTTGAGACCCTGCACCCACATGGGAGACCCAGAAGAGGTTCCTGGCTCCCAGCTTTGAATTGGCCCAGCACCGGCTATTGCAATCGCTTGGGGAGTGAATCATTGAATGGAAGATCTTCCTCTCTGTCTCTCCTCCTCTCTGTATATCTGACTTTCTAATAAAAATAAAATAAATCTTTAAAAAAAACAGAATGTAACTGGATAAATAAATTTGAATAAGTAAAGGAACGTCGGTGTACTGTGGAACAATTTTAAATGGCTTAATATATGAGAAATGGGAGTCTTCAAAAGGGAATAGGGTGACAATAGTCTAGATTTTCCCAAGCTTGATGAAAACTATAACACATCTCCAGTAAACTAAACAAAGCATAAGAAGCATAAAGAATTGGTGAAACAACAAGCTAAAATCTAGTGATACATAAAATATGTTAAATGCAGTTTAAGACATATTACATAGAGAGAACAAACATAAACACATCAAATGTGTGTTAACCATACCAGTGTGCCAGCATAGTCCCTTGCCTATTCTATTTATTTTTGAAAGATATGCATGTGGTGGGATGGTTACTGAGTCCAGGAGCCTCAGGGTCAGGGGTTTCAGTGGGGCCTGGATCCCCTGGCCTGGGTCCTTAGCCCCACCTGCTCAGTGGGTTCCAGGTCAACGAGCCCTGATTAGGAGTCCTGGAGGCCTACAGTGCAAATGGTGCTGGGCAAAGGACACTGGCCACTGGTGGTGCACTTGTGGAGACTTGGTGTGTGGGCTTGCAGGGGGTCTGAGGGATGGCCTAAGTGGGGGTGTGTGGGATGTGAGGACTCACATCCAGGATTGGTGGTCTGACTGTAAAATGCATATGTCATAACTGGGCCTTCTCAGTGGAAAAGATGGAGTAGTGGATCGCAGGCCTAGATGCACACTGAGGATATTGCATCTGGTAACATAGCAGAATAATGAGGGTGGAACAAATTGTACAACTACTCTAAGTGATGACAGCAAATATCAGGTCAAACAGAGACTCTAAGCTGGACTATGTCAGCCAATGGACCTTGGAAGGATCTCCTCATCCTTGGATTGGCAAAACTGGCAGCATTTCAGAACTATCAAAACCACTTAAGCAGAATCCTCAGGACATGCTCCATATTGGGGAACCCAGGGTTGACACTGGGTGGCTGTTCTCCATCCCTGGGTACTGGGGTGTTTGGGAGGCTGGGTGTGTGGCTTCGGGATCCCCTTATCTCTTCCCTCCCGCAGATACAGGAAGAAGAGGGAAAATTTGGAGCAATGGTCTTGCCCACTTTCCCCTGATCCTCAATCCTTCTCACCCTGATCAACTGTGTGAACAACATCAAAAATTAAAAATATAAAAAAGAAAGCACAAAGGAAATCCAAAGTAAGTGACAGGAATATTTATGAAATCAGTTTGATTCATGGCTGCTCCATTTCCCATTCAGCTCTCTGCTTGTGGCCTAGGAAAGCAGTAGGGAATGGTCCAAAGCCTTGGTACCCTGTACCCACATGGGAGACCCAGAAGAAGCTCCTGGCTCCTGGTTTCAGGTCAGCTCAGCTCTGGCCATTGCAACCACTTGGGAAGTATTCCAGTGAATGGAAGATCTGTCTCTGTCTCTCCTTCTCTCTGCAAATCTGCCTTTCCAATAAAAATAAACCTTTAAAAAAATTTTAAATTCCTGAAATAATTTACCAGAAAAAAGGAACAAATAATAAGTCATAAGTCATTTCAGTTACATGCTAAGCACTTGTGCTTAATACTTGTTCATGTTCATTTATTCCTATTCCCACATTACAGATGAGAAAACCGAAGAAAAACGGTCAAGCCCCAAGTCAGCAGAATTAGGCAGTGTAGGAATCCCAAGATCAATACCATGACTGCCTCACACCTATCTCTTTTGACAACTGAATTGTTATTTTGTGCTGCTACTTCAGAACCAGATCATCAGCACAGATGAAAAGCCATGGTCACTGACAAGCCACCCTAAGAGTATCTTGCCAGACCAGGGCTCCTTCCTTCGGTTGTAGTAAGTGGAAATGACTCACTGCTTCTCTCCTCCTCCGCTCCTGCTCTTTCTCCCTTGCTAAATTCCGGTCTTTGAGAAGCTGGAGTTTGCATTTTTCTTGCTCTTCCAATGACTGCTGATGTTCTGTCTGCTCTTCCCAAAGGCATTTGTTGGGCATTTTATTTGAAAACGAGTCCAGAGGCAATCCATTTCCAAGGTCCCTTAACGAAACAGAAGAGCTCTAAGTAAGGTTCAAGTTCCTTATAGAAGCCTAGAAGGCAGTGCAGCAGATACCCAGTTTTATGTTATGACATTATTATTTTTTAATTTATAACATATTTTTAAGCTTTATTTCTGCTATCTCAAATTTTACACAGGATAATTTGTTAATAAAACAAAGATTTTTAGAGAACTGACTTTAGTATACTATTAATTTTCTTTTAGATACAAATGGAAAAGCTCTCAACATAATAGAAAATGATACCTTAATAATTTAATAACATTAACATCCTTAGTACTTGATTACTTCAATTTACAAAAGATAATATTGCTTAGACTAATACAATGATTTGATGTGTTCACTGAAGAGCTCAATTATGATCACCTAACAAAAAAATATATTTGAAACACAACTCTGTACCTGTGACACCCATTTAATCCCGTAGATTACAAACCTCTGATTTTCTTGAGATACTTTTGTTTCCTTTGTGTTTTGTTCCAGATGCTTCCGTATTAGTTCCTGTGTCCGAGCTTTTACTTCCTTTTCTATTGCTGCTTTTCTAAACTGGTTGAAGAGTTCATCAGAAGGTTTCAGTACACCTGATGTTTTCACAGGTTTGCCTAAACTTTTCCAAGAGTCTGCATTCTTAATCTTTATATCCTGAAATAAATATTAGATTTAATCTGTGTCCATATGTTTCCATCATATTCTGGGAGGAAAATGTTTAAGATTTTTAAAAATATAGATAGTAAAGAATCAGTCTGAATAATTTTGATAACCTTATTTGCTAAACTTAAAGGTTGCTAAAGTCAGAGGAAAAATGAAGTTCCAACACTGATCCCCTAAACTCAAATATTCATCCAAGACCAAATTAAGGCTGCATGCTTGCCAGCTATTTCAATTTAAGACAAGTGAGTATATGAGGTTACTTCAAAAAGTTTGTGTAAGATGGAATTAAAAGGCAAGTTTATTTTGGTGAAGTACACTTTGCTCATAGTTTTTCATAACAAATATTCTGATTCATTTAAAAAAGATTTATTGGACCCAGAGCAATAGCTTAGTAGCTAAAATCCTTTCCTCGCATGCACTGGGATCCCATATGGGCACTAGTTCGTATCCTGGCTGCTCCATTTCCTATCCAACTTCCTGCCTTTCGCCTTGGAAAGCAGTCGAGGATGGCCCAAAGCCTTGGGATCCTGTACCCCAATGGGAGACACGGAAGAAACTCCTGGCTCTTGGCTTTGAGTCAGCTCAGCTCCTGCTGTTGTGGCCACTTGGGGAGTATACCAGTGGATGGAAGATTTTTCTGTCTCCTCTTCTCTCTGCACATCTGCCTTTCCAATAAAAATAAATAAATCTTTAAAAAAAAAGTGAGAGAGAGAAGGCTAGACAGAGAGGAAAAGAGATCTGTCTGCTGGTTCACTCCCTAATGGCTAAAGCCAAACAATCAGGAGCTTCACCCAGGCCTCCCATAGAAATGCAGGGAAAACTTGTAGGAAGTCAGTTCTAGAATTATACATTCAAGTCATGTGCATAGAGCCCCTAGCTCAGGCAGACATTCTACAAAAAGAGGTGGAAGACTCTCTTTGTACACCTCATGAAGATGATAGGTGGAATTCAGCTACTTCAGAGTTTGCTGGTTCCTGTGAATGCACATTACAGGCACAGGCAACAGCCAGATGCTAGCCAAAGCTATGGCATTGGTTCTCAACTGGAGCTAGGTGACATTTGCTAATGTCAGTAGACATTTTCAGTTGTCACAAACACCTTTTGTTTGTCACCTTTTCCTTTGAGAGAGAGGATGCTGCTAGTTAGTTGGCTGGCAGTTAGGATTTCTGTAAAGCATCCCACAAGGCATAGATTCACTCCAACAAAAGCTGTGCTAGGGTTAAGAAACTCCAGTTCAAGATGTGAGCAGTGGACGGAAGGATTGCTCTTAGAGAGAACAATGTCAAAGCTAGGGAATAGGAGGATAAGACAAAAAGTTGAGGGCTTGTTAAAAATCCTCTGTTTTAATTCCACCTCTTTTGGCAAGATGTGCCAACCACGTGGGCCACAGTATATTTACATAGACTAATTCTCAAGTGTTTCTTGTGACACCAAAACTTTCAGTAAGTGGTAACAGTGCTGACAGTAGGAGAAAAGGATATGCTAAATGGAAACAGTTCCCTCCTCTGAAACAAACAAGCTACACAACCCTATTTCTTCTTAAACTATCAATATTTCATGTTCTACTCTGGCTACACATTGAAAATAACAAAGAGAGTAGACATGCCACTTTTATCTATGGCACATACTACAATGGATGACATCCACTTGATGTTTTGCTACTTGCTTTTGCTGTTTCCTCTATACCCTTTGAAAATTATCAAACACTTTTGCAGCACTCAAATGAAAGCTTTACTAATTTACAATATAAGGACCATAGTTCATGCTATAACACATTTACAAAACTCTAGTTGTATTCTTTTCATGCTAATGATAGTGCATGACACTTATTAAGTGAGACAAGATACAAAATTTAAAAGCTAATATTGGTTGTTACAAAAGACATATTTAAAATAATTGTTTATTAATATCCATCAATAATAATAAACCTACACTACACACAGTCTTTGATCACATTAGCAAAGTGCTATGTTAGGAAAATCAAAAAAAGCACAGAGGCCAGTTGAAGTACAAGGACCAAAGCAATATGCTACTCCTGGTGAAAACCCACTTCATAAATATAATAATCTGAAGAATTGTAAGGAAGAAAACAATCTGAAATATGCAACAAAGAACATGAAGCAATAATGTAAAAACTTATCATCTGAAGAATTTGTAAGGAAGAAAACAGAAGAGAATGAACGGGTGGGGGTAATATATACTTATTACCTTCATGGTGCCTGAGAATTAGACTCAAACACCTACAACAGTACCTGATGTATACAATGTATCCCACACATCTAGAATATTTGTTGAAAGAATATCAGTGTATACCGTTTGGAGATTAAGTTCGCTTAAAATTCCTTTGGGGCATCTCCTATACCAGGATCTAAAAGATAGTTTTTACGAAATGATTTATAGTTGGTAGCAGGCAAATGTCAATATGATAGAATCTGTGATTAAAAATATGTACGAGGACTAGAGGCAGTGGGTAGGAAAAAGGTGTTGCTCACAGCAAGTTTTATTTTTACTAACACAGGCAAAAAGGAGACCTAGAGGTCCAAACCCATATTCAAGCTATGGCATAAAATACCTTTGTTCCCTTTCCACACTCAGTGTTAACCCCATCAAGATTCCTGAGGCAAAAATAGCATTACTTTTACCTTCTGCACAGGCACTTGACATTCAGATTCAGGCACCAGTGTAGTGTTTTCACCGGATGGATGCATTGCAGTTGAGCCATTCAAAAGTTGTTCAGAGCTACCTAGAGGCAGACATTTTTAGAAGAGTACAGTGAGAATATATTTCCTCTCTTGCAGAATTTGCCCTTTTTCATTTCCAGCCACACTATGAACACAAAGCAATGAACTTTTTGGTGCTCTTGAACTTAGTGCTCTTAGTTGAGGACTGGGTACACTGTGAAACAAACATTTCTCCCTCAAGCTTCAAGCTTGAGGTTTACTGTTGTTAGTGTTGGCTCTTGTCAGCACAGAGTCCAACTGACATTGTGGCTGACCTACTAAAAATCTTTTGATTTCGAGCTACCACGCCTTGGAAGTTGGCAGGCTTAATGTTGGCTCCAGAGGTGCTCAGATTGGTTATGGCAACCATGCCAATCCTATCATTCTGTCCCCATACAAGGAACTCATGCATTTAGCAGCAGTCTGGTCCAGAGATGCTGGTACAAAATACAGCCTGAATGGATCATCTGAGAATAAATAAAATACAGAACACGAAGAACTAAGGCAGTAGACAGAATAGCCAGTGATGACAGCTTGCTAGAGGACAGAGAAAAGTACAGAATTTGACTCCCAGATTAAGAATAAACTATGCTAACTTGGTGCTTCTGAAGTTTTCATTTTTCATCATAGGTGAAGAAAATGATAAAAATAAATGTTTGAGACCTCATCAAACCACGAGATTAAGCTATCTTTGGACAACTTTATGACATATGCCAACAAAGTATTTGCTACATTTCCTGGGTATTTTCAATCATTCACATGGCTTCCCAGAGCTTCCATACACTGTCAGTTCTTAAATTATAATTCCTGTTATACATTATGCTTCTCATCTCTAGCTGTATATTTTCAATTACATATTCTATATTATCACACACTGCCCCAAACATCTTGTGTTTTTGATGGCCAACCTGTTGGTCATTTACTCACTCCAACAATGTCTATAAATTTCATTGCAAAAATACCTTTTGCAATGTATCCACATCCCTTCCATACTCACTGCATTAAGTTTAGTTGTAATAACTTCTTTCCTATAGAACTCAGCTTCCTTAATTGGTTCCAACTATATCAGGGCATTCTCATTTTAATCTATTCTCTATTTAATGAGCAGCATTAGCTATGCTCCTGGTTTGAAATTCCTTGTTGTATACCAAACAGAAAATAACACTAGGATTCAAGGTAAATCATGACAAAGAACTACTATACTCCAGTCATTCTCAAAATATCTGAAAATTCTACTTCCCCAGCAGAGTGCATACAAATATTTCATAATTCAGACATCTGCAGCTTTTCCTGAGAAGCCCTCCAGTTTGCCTTAGATATTTGCTTTCTTGAACCTTATTCCCTTATCCACAATGGGCTTAATATCTCCTCAACCCCTAACATCAGGTTGGGACAGGCAACATCTTCACGTCTATCAGGACAGATAGGATACTTTAAAAACCACAATCTAGCCAGTTTGAGAAGATATTTTGGTAAGCAGAAATGATGATTATGCAAGCACTCCTAACTCCAATCCCCTTAACTAAGAACATGAACTATCTTTGATATATATCTATTTTCCTACCTTCATAATCTCTAAATGTCATTTCCTGATTTCATCCTCCATTTCCAACACATGTTGGTGTCATGGAAGTTAGAGTGGTATTTCCCAAGTCTGCTTAGAACTTATATAGCTCACAGTTCAACTTATATAGCTTATATGGAAATAAAATGGGCATGAGATATAGAATGAGAGACAGAAAAGAAAGAGTGAGCTCCAACTCCAACTTTACTTCTCAAATATCCACAAGTGTCAGGCAGAAGCCGAGAACTCAATCCAAGTCTCTTCCCTGGGTGGTAGAAACCTAATCACTTAAAGCATCATTGCTGCCTGCCAGACTCTAATGGTAACTGGAATCTGGAGCCACGGCCAGGGTGCGAACCCTGGCACTCTGCCCAAGGCGGCTGGCATCCCAAGTGGTGTCTTCACAGTTAGGCTTCACGCCTACCTCTCAGCGGGGATTTCTAACAAGGCATTTCCTAGTTGTGACTTTTAGCATTTCTGCCCAGATAGTTGTTAACATTTTCACACACAGGTTTAGCAATCAGTTCTCAATCAAGATTGTTGACCTACGAATGTCATACCTGAAGGAGTCAGAACTTGTAAAGGTGAAATGTTTTTCACAATCTGTGATTGCTGCAATTCTGGATAAGTAAATGCTAACTGCTGTTGAGTTGGCGGCACTCCACACGAAGGTATGCCCTGATGAACAAGAGTATTTGTAGTAGGGGTAGTGTCTTGCACGGAAGATTGTACCTGCTAAGGCAGAGTTAAGTAAACTGGTTATTCAAAGTTTAACCACATAAGGTATGCAGCCAGAAGAGAAACATAAAAAGCAAGAGTATAATAATATCTTTTCAATATCACATGGCTTAATGCACATAAACCCATGTTTATCCCTATTATACAAAGAAACAGAGATTTAGTAAGACATTTTACGGCTTGTATGAGGAAGAACTAGTCAAAAGCAACGTTCTAAGTTACTAGTGATTTGTTTAATCTAGGTTTTACTCCTTTATGAAGCTTTTCCATGACGCAATAAAAAATCAAAGCAGTTTTTATTCCAAGTCTAGAGAGCAATCCACTTTCACTTTACGCCTTCATCCTTCCAGAATCAGACTCTAGCCGAGTAAGTTAAAATCATATGTGGGTTGGCTCACAAGGCCATCAACAAATTCTGATGTTACATTCAGGCAAGTACGAAGTACCAGCTTCAGCACCATTACAGCTAACATTTGCTAGCTTACTATATGTAAAATAACAGGCCTAGTCTTTAATATAGCTTTTAATTCTGACAACAGTCCTATAAATTAAGAAAAATTATCACCATTTAGTGTTTCCAGTAAGAGAAATGCTTTAAAATCTCACAGCTAAGTAGTGACAACTTTTGACAGTAACGAAGCCCAGTGACCCTATCCGCTAGGCTTGAGTTGTAAAACTCAAATTTGGTCCAGTATGAGGCTTAGGTGAGGCTACATAGGTGTATGAGTCACACCTAGGCTTTGCTAGCCTGAATAAAACAAATATCATAGGAATGTTTCTCTTAACAGATTTGTGGCACAAATCTCCAAAGCCAAATTTCAGGATTAAGTCAGCAAAAACATCACTTTCTGAAGTACAGAAGTGCGGTATTTATCCCCTTGTTGCTCAGCGAGTAAAACTGGAAAACTGTTGGTCACAAAGACCGAGTCCACAAGCCATGCATGCAGGGAGTGTTCCCAGATTTCTTTATAACTTGATGAAATTCTGAAAAATTTTAAAAAGATCCATCCATCTTATGCATCTATCCATCTGTCTGAAAGGCAGAGTGACAGAAAGCTGAGACAAATGGAAGCCAGGAACTTGAAATTCCATACAGGTGTTTCATGTGGGTGGCAGGGACCCAAGCACTTGGGCCGCTCTCTGCTGCCTCTCATGACTTACCAGCAGGCAGCTGGAACAGAAGTGGAGCTTTGAGGGCATGAAACAGCCCTTCAATATGGGATTCTGGCATTGTAGGCTACAACTTAACCTGCTGCATCCTAACATTGACTGACCCCTCCTCCCCACCTTTTAAAAAAATGTCATGATGCCTGTCCTACGGAAGGCCAGGCCAGATGCACTGTAAGAACTTTAAATTTATTTTCCTACCAAAATGTCACCTTACTGCACACTCAAGACACTATATGCCTTGCACACACTAGAAATCATCAAAGCTTTCCCTCTACAGCCTCTTCCTAAGTCTAAACTGAGGCTTCTAGAATTTATTTTATGATATGTTTAACAGTTATCTCTGATTAGCAAAAAACTGGTTCTCTATTTAATGTCCTTTGGGAAGAAGTTTTTGAATATGTAGATGACAATATTTTTCATGTAAATGAAAACTGTTTAAAAGTTTCCACTATTTCAGTGCATTTTTACATATAATTTACTAAGGTAACTCAAGAAAAAGAAATAATTAACTTACCTTTACATTTTCTTTAGATAAAGGATCATTCTTTTTTACTTCAGTAAATTTAGGAGGCATTTCTGCAAATGCACATAAACAAATATTTTAATATTTATCAGCTGGAAAATGAGCATTTTACAGTTTTTCATATAAGATACAAAGCGCTTTTAGAACACCGCTCATGTCAATCTGTTACATCAAGAAATTCTTAAAACTGCAGGTTTTTGGCATCTTTGAATTTAGTCAAATTTCCTACAGAGACACCTGCTTTTGAGCTTTTTTCTTTTTTCCATCATGGAATAAACATTCACTCACGGTTTCTCTGTGTGTTATGTTTCTGCCAAAAAGAGCAGTATATTATTTCACAGCAAAGAATTAAATCAGTGATAGTTTAAAAAGGAACAAATTGCAACAACAGAGGTTAACGTTTTAAACAAGCAGGACAGACTAACATCATCTTTTGCTAAGTAGTAATAAACAAAGCCATACATGGCTTAATTAAAATAATTAATCATTTATTATAAGCGAAGGGATATGTTGTTTATCTGAGATAAAACAGTCTTTTAAAATGAAATAATTTGGTTTCTGAGTTCAGGTCTGCTCTGCTTATAAAGCACTAATAAAGATCCCATCTAATTAATACACTCTTCAAGCCTTTTTGCAGACTCGACTACATAGCAACCAATGGGTGTTGTAGTACCTCCTTTACCTTTAGAAATATCTGTACAGCTGATAAGTAAGAAAAGAGGTATCTCCATGTCAGGGTGCTAAGAAATTCCTCTTTCTCCTACACCTGACCTCTGGAGCTATCCTCCCCAGTGATAAGCCTAGGTCAGAGCAATAGAAAGTACCAAAGTGCAAATCACTGCCTTGATCCATCTCTCCAACCCAGGGTTCAGTAACCACATGAGTGTTCTTTGCTTTAGGCTTCAGGGCACTAAGGCCGGTAAACACCAAATACCATTCAAACTTAACATGCTCTAATTTCAATAATTACCTTCTGCCTCCTGAAATGCCATCAGTTTCCATTGGATGTGTTACTGTTCTTTCCTCTCCTAAAATGTTTGATGCTGGACACTGTTAAAATTGCTAAATGCCACTCATGACATACTTTAACTTAAATCAAGTCTATAAAATGACATGAGTCATCTTAATGTCACTCAGCTAAGTATTACTTGAGTGTTGCAGTTAGGTGAAAGAGGAAGAAAAGGAGACAGACTGAAAAGATGAAGGATATTGATCCAGAGAGATTTTTCACATTTAAGACAGAAATTAGTTTTAGCTTTGAATAAAAGCAAAAAAGACTTCATTAATATCAATTATGTACATCTATTCATTTCTTAATTATTCAAACATACACCCCTAAGCTACATTATCCTATAATATAAACTCTTAAATATAATCAAAATGACATATCACATCAGTGCTCTGCTAAAAATATTCAAGGATATCACCTTAGATTTCTGACACATAACATTAAAGTTCAAAATTATTACAAAATTTACCTCAAAATCTGAACATACTGCAATAAGCAGTTGCAATTACAGTTTAAAAGAAAAGCCAACCAGTTTATATATTGTCATAAAACTCTTAAATATAAATTGGCTTCTCATTCTATTCTTACATAATTGACTTCACAAAGGCATCGTAAACTCGATGTTTGCCAATCCTAGCAGAGCTCTTTATTAATGGAAACAATCTTGAGCTTAGGAAGTATGCTTATTTCTCAATTTCAGAGGCTAGGGAATTGTGAAGGAACAGATGTGTGTAGTTTTAAATGAAAAACAATAATGACAATGTCAACTCACTTCTGCAGAGAACTGTGGAAACACACATACCTACCTTAACAGGTTCAAACTGGGTGACATCCTTAAAGCACTAAATACGTGCATATCACTCAAATCATATGAAGTGTCTAACTTTACATCCCCCTAAAATTTCAATATAAAACTGAACACTTTCATTTTAAAGCTTGCCGAAATTTTAATATCAGAATGAAGGAGGTTTGATTGAAAGCTTTATTTAATATCCAACACCCACAAAGCACTGAGATCAATGTTAAACATCAACAAGTCATTTTGGACTAAAATCTCTGAGACTTCAATAAGAACATAATGTCAAAACACACTCTGACGTCCTACACAGGAAAAACGAGTGCCTGGTCCTGCTTCTGTATTTTACATAAACACATCAGGTATCAACTGTAGATATTGGAGGACTTCCCAAAGTTCATCACCCAAACTATATTCCTTTGGTAAAAACAAGCAATTTGTTTTGGAACTATAAAACTTCACTCCCTTTTTAGAATGTTCTGGCAATATTCATCAAAGTGTGGGTAGTTATTTCAATATTAAGAGCAAGCCAGGCCTGGAGCCTTGAACACCTGGGATCTCATGTGGGCGCTGGTCCTAATCTCGGTTGCCCCACTTTCCATGCAGCTCCCTGCTTGTGGCCTGGGAAAGCAGTTAAGGATAGCCAAAGCCTTGGGACCCTGCACCCACATGGGAGACTCGAAGAGGCTCCTGGCTCCTGACTTCAGATTGGCGCAGTTCCAGCTGTTGTGGTCGCTTAGGGAGTGAATCATCGGACAGAATATCTTCCTGTCTGGCTCTCTCCTCTCTGTATATCTAACTTTCCAACAAAAATAAATAAATAAATCTTTAAGGGAACAAACCAATAGCAAACCACCTGTTCCTTTTTGCTGAAAGCAATTCATCAAGAGTTGGAAAGTAGGACTCAGACTGAGGGTCTCAACACGCAGCACATTAGGAGCACAGTCGGCGATGTGGTATGTGGGTTCAGCTGCCACTCGCAATACCCTCACCCTACATCAGAGTGCCAACTGAGCTCCCTGCTGCCCTGCTTCCACTCCAACTTCCTGCCACTGTGCGTGGGAAAGCAGCAGACAACGATCCAAGTGCTTTGGCTTCTGCGTTCCATATGGGAAACCTGGATGAAGTTCTAGGCTCCTGGCTTTGGGCTGGACTATCCTATCCCCAGCCGTTTCAGCCATTTGGACAGGGACGTAGAGGATGGAAAATTTTCAAGTACATGCAGTCAACTAATTTTTTAAAAAATAATTTAAAAACAAGCTCTGAGGATACTTGTAACACTCCACGCTCAATTCAGGAAGCCATTTGAACAGAAAATTTTACAAACATGGAGCAGAACTTATCACTACTTAATCAAGTTTGGGTCCTGATTTCTTTTCCTGTGAACTGAAACACTTTGTTGCTGAAAGATGTATGAGTTAAGTGATAAAACCTAATCATTTCTTTTAAACGTTCTATTTCACATGTCAAAGAATAATGTAAGACTTTTTTTGCCTACTCCCAGCCCTTTTCAAACCTATCCTCCTCAGCAAGTTAATAATGATCTAATTTCACATCAAGTTTGCCAGTCTTCAAAGCTCACATGAAAAAAGAAATTATGTCCTCACTTCAGTAGAAGACCTAGTTTGTAGTTCTACAAAGATAAATTATTCCTATTCTGACTTCACCTATGATGAAGAAAGATTTAAAAATAAGTATTAGGTAAACAGTTCAAAGATTCTACTCTCTGATTTACATTAAAGCCAGAAGCAAAAAGGCTTAGGTTTAGGTGACAAATACACTATAGGAATTAATTAACCCAGTAAAAGAAAACAGTGTATTTCTGTCATAGCTATTGAGTCTCTTTGTGTTTAACTATATAGAGCAAGTGAAACTTCTGTTTGTCACTAAGCAAGTACCTAAACTAAGCATTGAGACATTCAATGGAATTGTAAGAACTGTAAGGTTTCAATCAAAAGCACCATTACTGAAGAGCTACGCCATTTGCTTGATTTTTCTCTGCATTGTTGTTAGCCACCAGATTAAAACCATTAATTACATTCTTTCTCAGTTATGTTATGTTAAAGGTTACTGAGCATCAGAAAACCCTCAATAGCTCACATGTGCATGCCAACACAGAACATGCATGCTGGAATTGGTTTTTTTCTTGGCTCCTACACGTTTTAATTTAACATTTAATGTTTTGAAAGCTATGAAAAACATTTTTCAAAGGTTTTACACTGATGCCAATGTTTAATCAATGTGCCTGACTTTTCTGCATAGGATATTTGCTTATTTTCACGTCCACCAAGAACATAATTTAAATGAAAAAATATCAAATGACTTTGAAATATCCAACAAAGTACTACTTTCAGAATACAGCTTTTTAACCTCTGTTTTTCAAGAATTTGAAATTTCATGAAACTATCTGAAAATGATGATATCTTGTTTGAAATGAGAATTTAATGAAATTTCATATGTCAAACTTTGCTTGGAAATCATTGGTTAGCTATATAGTCAATGCTACTTTAAGTCTAAATTTTCAAATGTGCATCAATTGAAGTTTCTAAAACGACAGAAAAAGTTAACCATTTAAGGTAGAATAAGTAACTCCAACACTACTTAATAACACAAATGTTTTCCAGTTATTAACCTTAACACATGGGCAATAACTACATAGAGTATTATAGCAATGAAAGCAGCTCATAATACATAATGATGGTGAACAAGTCAGTAGTAATACCAGGGAATTTAGAAAAGCTATTGTGGAGATCTGTTTCTGACAACAGAAATCCTAGGACTATAACTCGGTTAGGATAACTGCAGATGGCCACACTGCTCTAAATATCCAGGAAGACAGTTATTTTAAAAGAAATTGAAAAAATTACTATACATCAATATTTATGTTATCAGAACATAATTTGTCACAAAAAAAGCTTTCAAAAAGAAAGTTCTTTCATAGAATATCAAAGAAATAAGCCTGCAGGTCATACCTTGGATATTCAAACCCTATGAGCTGAGGCTCTGGGAACCATGATTCTCAACTGTACTGATCAGTTCTATATGAATCATAATTGTTAAGCTAAGTTCCGGTTGATATTTTAGGTTATGTTTCAATAGTTACAGCAGATAAAGTTTTTGGCGTACAATTGTCATAATCATATTCTCTTATTCTCCCAACCCTGAAATTTTGACATAAAATTTGCAATCCATTTTTTGACAATGTTTTCTCCATAATTTAGCAAATTACAGATACCTTATTTGATAATAATCATTCCCACTGATATGGTCTGACTTGCCTAGTCACAATGTAGTTGTATTATTTAACATTTTCGCTGATGCGATTTTCAAAGAAACAAAAAAAGTGCTTTTAGCTTATACTTGAGAAATTAAGATCCTTAAAGAATTTTAATATGTATAACTGAAGTTAATATTTATCTATTATACTAAGCAATTAGATTTTGCAACTTACAACACACATAAAATAATTAAAATTTCAAGAATAAACAACAGTTCGCACTATTAGATTCAAAGTTATATGAACCTTACTGTCACAAACTGTGTCAGCATCATCCATAATGTAGGCAGATATTTTAAAATGTGTCTCTTGCTTTTATTTTAACAACAGTGTCTGAATTGCTTAATTAGAAAAAGATGACATTGTCTAGGAAAATCAGTTATAAAAAAATTGAATGGTATTGCTTTAAGAATAGAAGTGAGATTAGGGCTGAGTTATTCTGTGATTAAGGATAATATGGTGTATATATACATATGTATATATGTGTGTGTATATATGACATATAATATGGTGTATATACATATGTGTATGTGTGTATACACACATATCCCATCATTTTAATATTCTTCAGATAACATAAAGAAATATTCTCTCAGAAATTGATCATTCATATTAAAGTATTTAATTGAATACTTCTGCATATGGTACTCAAAGCACCTGTTGCTCAACAGTCAATATGTAATTATAAGTAATTCAAATTACTAGATAAAATAAGATAAAATAAAAGACAGTGCTCTAACTCATTAGGCCACAAATGCTTTATTAGATGAAGTTACAGCTGCTAATTACAATTTAAGATGCTAAATCCAACTTAGATTTTTCCAGTGCTGTTGTATGCTTAGATGTTAAAAAAGGAAATATTTATAGAGCCCTAAATTGATTTTAAAATGTTCCAGTATGACAAATTCCAACAAAGCTAAATATTTGCTCATTCTTACAAAATTATTTCCTACTATATATTTTTAAAATATCAAAACAAAATGTAGCAATCTGCACCATATTACTAAACAGAAGCATGAGTGAAACAGAATACACTGCAAGCCAATAGATCCTTCTTACTAAACTGAAAAATTGGGATGGTCATACAAGTGATAAGAATTCCTAACGTCACAATATTTTGCAAGGGACCTTTTTTGTTTAAAAGAACTGAATTTCATACAAAGAAACACTTCATGTAAAAACATCTAAAAATTGAGCAAATTTTAGGCATAAAAGTGCCTTATATTCTGAATCTGCTTTTTGCTCACTAATGATGGAACATACCCAGGTCAGCATCCTTGGGCAGCGATTGTCATCTATACAACTTAACAATGAAACAAATCCACACACAAAGAAAGCATGAATGATCTAAGCTTAATACAACTGATAAACAAGAAAATATAGTTCTTTAATATAACTGAGCATACCAATTTAAAGTACATTTTTCTATACATTTTTCTAATATTCAACAGTGAGGAAACCAGGAAAGTAAACAAAAAATCTCCCTTCTTGCTCTTGAAATGATCGTTCTTAAAAAAATAATTCAATTCAGAATGCTGCATCAGAATGGGACAGATCATGCAACACCATGGAGAGTAAAGAGAAAGGTGCTCTCAAAAAGTCTTTGTGTTTTATGAAAAGTGAAGACCCATATTTTATTTTCTGACATTTTTTGTTTTTCAGGTCTGCAATCACTTCTTAAGAGACTATTCTATCTTGAGCAAACTTACTTTTAACATGACAAACCTACAAGTAATATACGTGTAGTTTCATTTTATACAGTACCTCGTTAACGAAAACAGTTAAGATCGTCTGCATGCAATTAAATAATTAAATACATATTTTTTCAAAATGTATGTAAGTGTTAATATAACAAAAAAAAAAAAAAAAAAACATTTCCCTGCCAACAGATATGGATAAGGAGACAGCTAACCTGGTTCGGAATCACTGCTGTCGGAAGAACTGGAGTCGCTGCTGCTGCTTTCGGACCCTGAAGAGCTGCTGCTGCTGCTGCTGCTACTGCTGCTGCTGCTGCTCTCACTCAGACGGGAGACCGTTCCAACTATTGGAGCTGGTTCTGTCTTCTCAGCTACAACATTGGGGAACAAGAGCAGGCGCTGAGCAGAACAGCTCAACTGTCACATCTCTCCTAAGCACATCTGGCTGGATTCCAGCTTCCTGACAATGCAGACCCTGGGTGGCAGTGGACCTGCTCAGTATCTGGGTCCCCACTGCTCATACAGAGACCGGGATTGAGTTCCTGGCTCCACCCTTGTCCCTCCCAGTCCTCGCCACAGTGGATGAACATTTGGGGAGTGACTAAGGGTGCAATCTCTCTTGTCCCATTTCTCCTTCATTGTGTCTCTCAGATAAATACAGTTTCAAAACTTTTGTAATTACAGAATAACAAACGCATTGAAATGTCAATAGTCACAGAAGCAACTTATAAACTGACACCTACGTTTTACTGGACGTTTTCTAGCATTTAGCTGATTGTTGACATCGAGTAATCGCCTTTCCAGCTCCTGTTTTTTCTGTGAATTGAGTTCTTCTTTGGACTTCCCGGTTTTCTTGGCTGTGGGATTCAGGAGGAAGTACCATGAGAACAGGCAAAAATTATCACAAATATTGGACTGATTTCTGTTAATAAATGCAAATACATACCATGATACTTCAGTGGTCTTTTTCTCAAGCACCCTGCAACATATTTTTCTAGTTCTCTTAGTGTTGAGGCTTTCAGTGTTTCGAAATCTATCTCTATCTCATCGGGATTGGAATTTCTCAAGGCAGGCTCTCTTGACTGTATGATGTGAACCACTCGCCCAAGCTTTTCCCCAGGGAGTTTATTTATATCCAAACTTAGCTGTCTTTTCTCATCATAGTTCATAGGTTTGGCGTTATCTTCCTCTTCAGATTTCACAGCAGAGACCTGTTGCTTCCTCTTCTTAGTTTGACTGCAGAAAAAAATTAGATCCAGCCAAATTTACTTTGGCTAATGATATTTTTTACTTCACCACCTCCATGAAAAAGATACTCACTTGCTCTTGGATTTTTCCTTCGGTTTCATTAGCTTAAGTTTTTTCCGTGGATTTTCATCTCTGTTGTTTACTTTTTCTTTTTTCTTGTCCCTTTTAGACTTTTCATTCTTTTTCTTTGGCTTACGGAAAGGTACCTGGGATAGAACCTGTAACTGTTGATGAACAGCTTTAAGCTGATAAAAGAAAGAAATTTTAAACATTCATGGCTGAAAAATTAAAAGCACTAGATGAAGACACTCTAAAATAGAAGAGTACTCTGGGCAAAATTCATTTTATATTGAATTTCCGTCAAGTTTTTATCGCATTTCAAAAACTCACTGTTTTGAAAAGTACATATTACACTGCAAACACCATCAAGTACTCAATCTATAAACCCAAATATTCATCTAAATGATGCAGATCAACAACTATTAACAGTTCCAGCTCATCTTAAGTTTTTAATTAATGAGGCTTACAATCAGAGTAAGCGGGCCGAGCGGCGTGGCCTAGCAGCTAAAGTTCTCGCCTTGAATACGCCAGGATCCCATATGGCCACCCATTCTTAATCCCAGCAGCTCCACTTTCCATCCAGCTCCCTGCTTGTGGCCTGGGAAAGCAATCAGGACGGCCCAAAGTCTTGCACCTGTGTGTGAGACCTGGAGGAAGTTCCTGGCTCCTGGCATCGGATCGGCACAGCACTGGCCATTGAGGTCACTTGGGGAGTAAATCTTTGGACAGAAGATCTTCCTCTGTCCCTCCTCCTCTCTGTATATCTGACTTTGCAGTAAAAATAAATCTTAAAAAAAGATCAGAGTAAGCTAACTGTTTCATGAAAAGCAGCAAATGTTAAACATGTTCATGACAGGGAAAGAAGCTTCACTGCTCCATGCCTACAGCTGAAACCAGGAGCAAGGAACTCCACCCTGGTCTCCCACAGGTTTAGCAGGAGCCCAATTATTTAGGTCACCTGCTGCCTTCCCAGCTGCATATCTGGGGAGCTAAATTGGAAGCAGAGTAGCCTGGACTTGAACCAGCACTGATATGGGATGCTGGCACTGGAAACGACAGCCTAATTCACTGTGTCACAACACCAGTAGAAGATTTTTTTAAAAAAATAACAGCATTTTAATACTATACAGTTATTTGAGTAGAAAAACCTACCAAACATGAAAAACAAGCTAATTGTATATAAAGCCACATTTGGTAAGTGATCTGAATCTACACAAATCATAGGTATGTTGACAATCAAGACGCCATGGGCACTTGCAGCGGCACAGCTAACTACCTGCTCCTGAAGTTTTGCAAGTCGCTGCACTCGTTCATCTTCAGAATCCCCAGACGAGTTGTCTTCAGAAGAAGCTTCACTACTGCTTCTTCTACAAATGGGTTTGGCTGTTTCTGTTTTAATGAAGCACATTGCCATACTCTCAACAGGCTCATCTGGGATCCTCGCAAAATGCATTTCGAACACATCCTATAACAGAAAATTAGATGGTGTAACAGTCTATTGCTTTTCTGACTTAAGGTAGCAATACATAACACCCTCTAACAAAAAGTACACTACAGCATCATTCTCTGAACAGATTTTTTTCACTTCAAAATATAAAATATGCCTTAATGCTTTCATATGTTCGCTTTTTAACAGGAATTTTTCTCCTTTTTTTTAAGGCAAGAGAGATCTCCTAATTTATATGGGAGACATTCTTCCAAGGGTCCTACGATTTGTTGGAGCACCCTTCTGCCTCTCAGTGGTTTAGCCTTGGGAGTTCTTGAACATTCCCTTCCATTAAACATGGGTTCCAATCAACGTTATCTTAGGCATTTACCATTTTCTCTTTATTGATATTTCCCTAATATCCCTTGTATGAAGGTTCATGAAAGATTTGCTACTAAAAGTTGCTATAAATCAAGAAGCAAACAATCTCCCAGTAACAAAAATATAATTTATATGTAGTTCTGGAATATTCAAGCAAGGATGTGAGGGCTGTTCTTCATCTCTTGAGTTGATGGTTTAAAGCTTTCAAACTTTCAAACTTATCTGTACACTTTCAGAGTACCGGTAAGAACTCACTTGCAGTGTTCTTGCCATTGCCACCACTTCATGATCTGGAGGGTTGTATTTGTAGCAATTCATAAACATTAACCTAACATCTGCAGCAAATTCACAAGCATCTTTATATTCTTGATTGTCCATTTTCCCCTAGATTAAGAAAAAGTTCTAGGATTTACAAACAATACAGTTGAATTCAGTAATTATTTGAACATCTATCTTGTTTAACAATACAGACACACACAAGAACATAAAAAATACGATTCCTAATTTTTAGACTCTGAAAACCATCTGATGATGTGACACATAGACAGTGGGGGAAAGCATTCCAGATTAAGAACAAAATCACAAAAGCTGAGTGAATAGAGTATTTTCAGAAAATCATGTGTAAGCATATTTGATAGCAGAAATGCAGAAACTTTGATATGGGACACAGTATAGTCTTGACATTCTAATTACTAGGCCAAATGGCCACCCCAGAAATTCCTATTTTGGAGAATAAACTTATTCACAGAAATTAAGACATAAGTCTTCAAAGTGGAAGTGTTAATTTCCAGTCAAGATGAGTAAAATTAAATGTACAACTAAGGAAAGATTACCTACCAAAGAGAGCAGGAATCTTATACTAGCACCAACAGATGCCAGGATGTAGCTGCCGCATGCTAATGGAAAAGAACTGTCCATCCTAGAACCTTGTAATCTGTCATTCCAGAATTCTATAGTCTGCCATTCTAGAAGTGTAGTCAGTGTAAAAACTATTCAAAATGACAGCTTTAAGATACATAACTGTTAAGAGTGGACAACCTAAAAACTCCCATGGATAGTCACTAATTTTGTATTTCAACACAAAGAACATTTCTACAGAAGTGTAGAATCCAAGAAATATGAATAAGGGGCTAGTGTTGTGGTACATTATATTAAGCCACAGGTCGCCACATCCCATACGAGCAAGGTACACATTAAGCCTGCTCCAAGCTAACCTGGGAAAGCAGAAGATGGCTCAAACACTTGGCCCCTCACAAGACAGGCATGGATGGAGTTTCAGGTCCCTGGACTTGGCCTGGCTTGGGCACAGCTGTTGTGGTCATTTGGGAAGTTAAACAATACATGCAAACTCTGTCACTCTGCTTTTCAAATAAGTAAATGAAACTTTTTTAAAAAGATAATTCTTACCAATCAGATAGATTAAAAGGCAGGAAGACAATTAGAAACTAAATGTCTTACCAAAATAAAACAAAAAGCTACAGTTAGACATCAAATTTTGTTTTAAAAATGTATCAGAAAAATGCCTAAAATGCAGTCTAATTCAGAGTATAGATTATATTAGATATGGTCACTGAGATGCACGACAAAGAAACTTTGCATGTGCCCAATGATTAAAAATGAGAAGATGCATTATCACTCTGCTGACTTAAACTGTATTCATCTTCCTGGATTTTAAAATTTCTTCATAATGACAAATTACTTTTATAACCAAGAAAAGTTGTTCCACTTATTAGGGCAACAATTACCTTAATAGTTCCAAGATCCATTGGATTTTTGACAATATCATAGTAGTTATGAAGTCCCAAAGCATTAACATCAACAGGATTATAAAAGGGCCAGGCATACGATAAATGCTTCTTGGCAAGCAGTTCTTTCAGAATCTCACCACAGTGTCTTAATCGTTCCGTTACGTTAACACTTCTTACAACTTTATGTTGCTGTTGTGAATCCGGCAAAACATTGTTTAGCACACTTTCTTTCATTTGTGGCATTCCCACAGACTTTTTTTCAGTAAGGCATTCACTACTTGGTTTAATCACAGAAGTTGTAGGAGTTGTTGTATCTGCTTTCCTCTTGACACCCCTGGTAACCTAAAACAAAACCAAAATGATTTAAAGTGACATCTTCAGCAATAGTTTTCAAAAATTTTTTGATCAGCATCCTTATCAGCTAAAAAAAAGAGGATATTGCTGTCAGTCAATATTTTGATAGGCAGACATGGCTTTTTTTTAACTTTTATTTTTGATAATGTTTACATAGTTGATCAGGGCGGAAGAATCGAGGGTTAGGGGAAAGCAGGTGAGACCAGTGTTTCCAAATTTTCTTTTTCTTCTTCCTTAATCTGGGGGGGGGGAAGGAGGGAGATGAGGGGAGGAGACACACTGACCCTCCCATCCTTTCCAGTACCCAGGGATGGGGAATGGCCACCCGATATCAACCCAGGGTCCCCTGATGTGCAGCATCTACTTAAGCGGTTTTTATAGTTCTGAAATGCTGTGAATATCACCAATCCAAGGATGAGGAAATCCTTCCAATGTCCACTGGCTAACATAGTCTCCATTTATCCAGATATTTCATATCATCATTTGGTTGGGGTACTTGTCCATTTTGTTCTGCCCTCCTTCCCCTGCTGTAGTACCAGATGTCTTCTGCAGGCCCCCAGGCCCCAATAGGTCACCATATCCTCTGTGTGCATCTGGGCCTGTGATGATCCACTGCTCTGTCATTTCCACTGGGCCCTGCCAGACCCTACACCCATGAGGTTCATGGACCCAGCATCCACCAAGCAGCAGCCCTAAGGACCCAGGCAACCCCTGCCTACAGACCCCTCCAGAGCCCTCATCTCCAGGGCTCATGGACCAGGCACCCACTGCGCAGGTGGACCTGAGGACCCAGACCAGGTGACCCAGACCCCACCAGAAGAAAAATCAAAACAAAAATCATGGACATGGACAACTTCAGATTCTTCCACTATCAAGACACTTTAACATTTTAAGCTCCACCTAGAAAATCTGTAAAACATGGTGTCTGTGTTCACAAAATACAGAGAGAAGCAGAACTTGTACAGTTTAAGATTGCCAGAAACATGTATCCAATTCATCTTCCCCCATACCTGACCTTCTCCTTCCTAGTCAGAGGCTGACATGGACATACATCCCCCTCAACTATGTAAGCAATATTAAAAATAAAATTTAAACACAGATTGCTATATGTTGAAGACCAGTTTTCATAACTGTCAAAAAAAAAAGAACAGGCAATGTTCAGAGTTGCACTGAAATATTTCAGTAATCAATTATTTGAAAACTATAGCAAACTTACTTGGGTCATCATTTGTGAGCTAGAACTGGGTGGAGCTCCTTGTGCCATATTCAAGGGAGAAATGGATGTCTCTGGAAATACAGAGGGTATCACTTGCTGAGCAAGTACTTTTTCGGTTATCTTGGGGGATGTTTTTTCTTTAATGGAACTAACAGCTACATCCTGTTGGGCGCCTAGTAAAGAATGAATCAGTCAAACAATGTAAGACATTCAGTATCCTGGTTTAATTCATTGATTTCAAAGTTTTAGCAAAACAGTTGCACTCCCTGTGTCCTCTGAAATCCTCCCAAACATACTGTTGCTGACAGTGTTAGACCAATTCAAAGGTAACATTCAGAACGCTCTGCATCAATATCTAAGAATTTAAAATTGTTACAGATACTCCATCACTGGCTGACAGAATAAAAGGTGTGAATATGACTCTCTGTTCAAGAGATCTCTCAAACAGTTCTGCCAGCAGAGTAACTGTACATGTTCCTTGGTCCTATATCATCTCAGAAAATGCTAGGACTATTTAGCTCACACCACCCTGAAAGACAGTATTTCAAAAGGTCTTCCTTCCATTAACACAATTTCATTCTTCTAATTGCTCAAGTGAAAAATTTTGGAGTCATTTCTATCAAATCCAGCACACCCTGTTAGCTTTATCTTCCTGTCTAAAAGCCAACCACCTCTCACACAAGTAGTAATTAATATGGTCAAAGGCATCACCAGTTCCCAACTGGATTACTGCAACAGCATCCTCAAAGGCTTTTCTTTGCTGGTACAATCTATAGCCTATACTCAAAACAAAAACCAGAGCGATGTTTTAAAGCACAGATCAAATGTTTCACACCCTCCCCTACTTTTCCTCATTGGTCCCAGGAAAGGCCAAAGTTCTGACAACAACTTCCTATTACGACTTTCCCCTCTCCCTTATTTCACACAAACCCACTGACTGCTCTTGGTGACCTTAAGTTTAGCAAGCACAAGCAGTCTTTGAGAGTCACTATATTTATTTACTATTTTCATTCTACTGGAAAAGCAGAGACAGTAAAGCAAAGAGGGAAAAGATCAATCCTTTATCCACAGGTTTTCTCCTAATGCCAAGGATGAGCCAGGCTGCACCCAGGAACCCAGAACTCATTTTAGGGCTCTCACATGTGTGGCAAGGACAGGTTTCCCTGAGCCATCACCTGCTGCCTCCCAGAGCATACACTCGCAGGAGGCTGGATCAGCAATGCCACAGCCAGGACTTGAAGCAGGCTCTCTGATCTGGGAAAGAGGCATCACAAGGAACAGCTCAACTGCCATACCATGCACTAACTCCTGCAATGAGGACTCCTGGAAATGTTCAGGAGGGAAAAGCGGTGGGCAGGCAGTTGGCCTAGTGCTTTTGTTGTGAACATTCTGCACTGGAGTACCTGGGTTTGAGTGCTGGCCTCAGCTCAGGATCAGACTCCTGATGATACAGATCCCAACAGGTAGCAAGGCTTGGCTTACGTAAAAGGCTCTCTGTCACCCATGGAAGATGTGGAGTGAATTCCTGGCAGCTTCAGTCCCAGCATCAGCCATGGCAGGCATTGGGGAATGGACCAGAGGATGGGAGTTCTGTCTGTCTTTGCCTCTCATACAAACAAAAAACAAAACGGAAAAAAGGAGGGGGTGGGGAGGCTCCCAGGAAAATACATTTATTATGAAAAAAAAAAAACTATATTGGATTTAAAAAGTGTTTACACCAAAATAGGCCTCTCTTTTAATTCTTCTTAATCCAAAAATTCTCTGAAAGAACCCTTGTGTTTGCTCTGCTAGAAGATATCCTCATGGCATCTCCCAATACTGTTTTCAGACTTTTAGCCAAACCACTAGAACAACCTTCTCTTGGCTATCCTACCACTGTTTACTTCTGGCTCTTTTATTCTGCTGCATTGTTCCTACACCATTGTCACATTTTACACAAAGTATCCCTGCTTCTGCAATTCTCGATAATCTCAGGAAATAAGCAGGTCTGAGTGCACTTTGAAATCCCACTGATATTCCTCAATATTTGATGTCTCACCACTAACTAGAACTGAGGTACCCAACAGATTCAGATATAACTATATACTTGATACTCCAACTGTTGTTCTTTTTAACTCAAGAGCTAAACAGATCTGCATAGAAAAGAACATGTATACTTACTTATGTCTGCATCTCCAAATAGGAAAAAAAAATTCTAAATGAATAAGGGAATCTGTTTGGTCATCCCCATCTCTTACCCCAAATACAGTACTTGGTAGTAAGAGAAACACAATAAACATTTATTACATCTTATTTGGCATTGGCTACCATCTCTAGGGCACAATAATGAATCAGACAGACACAGCTTCTCTCTCTGTGGAGCATATTGTTCGGTGTAAAAAACAGAAACTACAAGTAATCAAATGAATATCAAGTGATACAAGGTCCTAGAAAGGCAATAAGCATGGTGCTGAGGAAGTCAGAGCTCTGTCATGGCCAAGGAGGGCCCGACAGTTACAATCAGAAAGCCATCACACGGTGAAGCAGTAAGCCAGCCAGGGAACAGGCTAAGTGTGGAGAGGGTGGCAGCGCAAACGCACTCCGAGGGAACCAGTGGCTGAAAGCCCTTAGTGACACTGTCAGTCTTCTGAAAACCAGGCTGAGCTCACGGTCTGCAGGCAAAGTCCAAGAGCTCGGCATCAGCATCTGATCCCAACTGGCAAGAGCCATGTGTGTATCATTCATGACAGGAGCCATCCCATAGCGAGAGACAGACACTCATGCAATTCAAGCCATGAATACTGTAATAGCTTCATGATGACAGAGGTCTTTTCTTTCTTTTGTAAAGATTTACTTATTTTTATGGGAAATGCAGATTTATGCAGAAAAGAAAAAAAAGAAAAATCTTCCATCTGCTGGCTCATACTCCAAATAGCCACAATGGCCACAGCTGAGCATATCTGAAGCCAGAAGCTGGGAGCCTCTTCCAGGTCTCCCACATGAGCGTAGGATGCCAAGGCGTTGGACCATCCTCTACTGCTTTCTCATGCCAGAGCAAGAAGCTGGATGGGACATGAACTGCTGCCCTCATTGGTAACAAGGTTCCTACACATGAGATTTGGAGGATACATTTAGTGAAGCCACAGATCACAGTGACAAGAAAGTAGCTCAGAGAATTGGGCAAGAGCCAGCTCATAAAAGGCTGCAGGATGGAATTCCAATTTCATTCTTCATTGAAAGCCAAAGAGATCCTTTAAACATGTACATGATGTGTCCTACCTTATTTCTAAGATATCACATTACTATTAAATAGAAAATAGACCAGGCCCACAGCACCCAACAGCACACACAAGTGCTGGGTCTGGGGGCAGGACAAGTCAGGTCATAACACTCATTAGCTGGGTCTGGAGACTAGCCTCACGGGGTTCTGGAAGGTCATCTCGCCCAGGCCAGGGAATCCTGCCGTGGGCACGAATCTAGAGTGGGCCAGTTTACAGCATCATACCTGCTGGTACACATAAGAGTTGGATCCAGAGAAGGGCCTAGTAGGAATTCAGGGGGTCACTCCAATTGGCCACGCTACCCCCCAAGGAGCCTGAGAACTGGCAGGATGATCTGGTCTGGTGGGGGGGGGAGGCCTTAGTGCCTTCACCTGGAAGGCTCCCCAATCTCAGGGAACATCCTATGGATTTGCGGTCCAATCACGGAGCACATGTTGCAGGACCTAGCCACCCTCATTGCTGACTCCAGAAAAAGAATGAAGTGCATTTCCTGATGCACATGGAGGACAAGACAACCAACTCCTCTAATCCAACCAAACAACTCTGTGACAACAGATGGAATATGTCTTACAAAATGACCACTTGTGGCATACGGATTAAGCCTCTGCCTGCAATGCGGACATCCTATTTGGGTGCCGGTTTGAGTCCCAATTGCTCCACTTCTCATCTAGCTCCCTTCTAATGTCCCTGGGAAAGCAGAGGAAGATGGCCCAAGTGCCTGGATCCCTGCACCATGTCAGAGACTTGAGGGAACTCCTGCTCCTGGTTTTGGCCTGGCCCTAGCTCGTCCATTGCAGCTATTTGAGAAGTGAACCAATGGACAGAAGACCTCTCTCTTTGTCTTTCCTCCTGTTCTCTAACTCTGATTTTCAAATAAATTTTAAAAAGAAACAGAAAGGGGGCGGGGGGGAGATTTCTTGTTGTGGCACAGGAGATTAAACCTTACATCTAGACCTAGCTGCTCTAATTCCCATTCAGCTTCCTGAGAAGACAACAGAAGGCTCCTGCCACAACTGTGAGAGCAGGATGGTCTCAGCGTTCAGACTGATTCAGCTCCAGCTGATGTGGAAATTGGGATAATGAGGCAATATATAGAAGATTCCCACTCCCCACACACCATTTTAAATACTGCTTTTTAAAAAAATTAACGTACTAAAAATAGGTTTTACCTTGCCATAGATAATAATTTAAATCAGCAATAATTACCAGCTGGCTTCAACAACGTAAGTGCTACTTACAGGGATCTATGTCTTAGCTAGCTTGCAAGGGTTTAATTTCATCCTTTCATTAAAATGTCAGACTTAGGATTAGTTAAAACAAACTACAAGTCACGACCCACCTTCAAGGTCTGTCAAGAATAAAGTACAGATTACTACCAACAAAACAATGTCTACCATGAACCCACCACAAAGCTTCCCATAACACCCTCTTAACCATATACTTAACATTTACAACCATCAAAGAGAAATCACCTTCTTGATTTTTCTTTTTGTTTAAGATTTAATTTAAAGTCAGAGTTACAGAGAGGAGGAGACAAAGAGGTCTTCTATCTGCTATTTACTCCCCAACTGTAAGGGCCAAGTCAGGCCAAAACAGGAATCCTGGAATTCCTTCTGAGTCTCCCATATGGGTGTCAAAGGCCCAAGAACTTGGGCCATTTTCCATTATTAACCATATGTGTTAGCAGGGAACTGGACCGCAGAGGAGCAGACAGGACTCAAACAAGGATGCTGGCATCTCGGGCAGCAGCTCAACTCATTGCACCACAATGCCAAAATTTTTATTTTTAATATTATGAATGATGTAACAGAATGATAAAGAAACTTAAGCAAAATTATACAACTTGAGTTGCCCAAATATAAACCAACATTTGATGTATGACATTCTTGTTTTAGCATCTGTAACAGATCCATCTGAGTTTTAATATTCACTTAATAATTGTGTATTCAAATAGTATTTATCAAGGATCAGCACTGTGATGCCATGAGTTAAACTGCCATCCCATATGGTAAACCAATCCAGATACCTGTTGCTTCATTTACAATCAAGCTTCCTGCTAGTATGTGTGAGAAAGCAGCAGCAGGCAGCTCAAGTACTTGGGCCCTGCTACACATGAGGGAGGCATAGATGCAGTAACAGGTGCCCAGCTATCGGGAAGAACCAGCTGATGGAAGTAAGGAGAGTGAGTGTATTCCCCATCAGCATGTCCTTTCAGAGTGAGATTTACAGAGAGAAACAGACAGCAACAGCTTCCATCTGCTGGTTCATGCCCAAAATGGCCACAGTAGCCAAAGCCAAGCTGATTCAAAGTCAGGAGCTTCCTCAAAGGCCTCTCACACTAGCCTGGGAGCCCAAGGACTTCAGCCATACTGTCTCAGCCTATAAACTGAGACAAGATTGGAAGCAGAACAGCTGAGACTCAAATCACCACACAGAGGATGCCAGCACTGAGATGAAGGACTAACACGTTAAGCCACCACATCAGCCTCCATCACTTTCCTTCTAAAATAAAAAATAAACCTTTTTGCTTGTTTTAATCATCAAATATATCAATGTTTCTCTTTAGACCCAACAATGTTTCTTCATCAGGTACATGATCTCTGGGTACAGAGAAGGATGGACACATCAGCACTAACACTGAAGAGCCACTGGGAATAGTAACAGCAGCTACTGGGCACTGTACTGAGCACCCACAACACGATGTGGCCAGGCAGTGGGAAACCTGTTCCATGCCAAAATCAAGGCACTCCTCTCTCCTCCTGCATGACCGCCATCCTGTGATTAAGGCTTAGCTGAATGCTTCTATGGGACATTTTGGCAGCAGAAACTAGGCACAATAGGATCCAGAAGGACATCTGGATGTGCCAGTGAGGGAATCTGGACTCAGCTCAGGTCACTTCAACATACAGATGTGCAGCAGGGAAAAAACTCTTCACCATCTCACCTTTTTTTACTCTTTCCTTACCGCCTACAACTTGCTCTTCTTGTGGCATCTGAGACAATTTCTGCATAAACAACTTCTCCAGAGCCTGCGCCATGAGAACGATGTCATCTCCAGGCTGCAAGATACAGGACATTCACTGTGAGGAACAACACCTTCTGGTCACTGCATCAAATGGCTTGAATTTAGGCATTCGGAGAGGAGGCCACGACACAGGACCACTAGACACTATGAATGAACTTGAGAAACAGTGAGACAGCTTGCATTTTAAATTCTATCAGGCAAGTCTTCATCTTCCAGAAAGCACGACAAAATTACAACCCAGCCAGTCCTGACACAGAAAGGGAGCAGAGACTTGACATCTCGCCCCACACGCAGGTTAAAACAAAGCTTGCTCATTGGCCATGAGGGTCACTTACGGTTTTACCTCAACAGTTCTGGTTTTCAATTAACCAAATACTAAGTCAACACTGGAGTGCAGACGCCTTTTATATCTCAACTCTTCTGCCTTTTTTTTTAAAGCAAAGTAAATTATAAAACAACAGTTTGAAGTGAAGAACAGTTACTTCTAAGGTAGGTGCCTTGGGAAAATCACCCAACTTCATTTAAAGATGTTTAGAGTGAAAAAGGACCCCTTCGAACTGTCGCTAAATTAAAATGAAGTTGGTAATAATCAAGAGAATCACTGATACTAATTTTTTTTTGAAGTTCAGAATGTCCAAATAGTTTTAAATCTTTTATGTACGGGACCAACACTTTGGCTCAAATGGCTAATTCTCCATCTCTGGGTTAGGGCCCACCTTCTCTACTTCTGATCCAGCTTCCCACTAATACACACCCCACGAGGCCGCAGGCAATGGGTCAAGCTCTTTGGTTTCTGCCACCCACGTGGGAGGCCTGGATTGAGTTCTTTGCTTTAGCCTTGCCCAGCCCTGACCGTTGGGGTCCCCTGAGAAGTGAGCCAGGGGATGCAGATATATATAAAATTCCTTATCTCACACTGTTTCTTTGAGGAAAGCAAATTAAAATAAATAAAAATTTTAATAAACAACTTAGATACCGTATAAGTTTGAAAATGATACAGTACTCCTTTAAGGTATTTTACTTTTAGTTTCATACTAGTTCTATGTGGGGGAAAACTCAAGCACACAGACGGATGAGAGCAAACACGGAGACTGTTTAAAATGTCTGCACAAGGACCCGGTGTGGTACCCTAGCGGCTAAACTCCTTGCCTTACAGGCACTGGGATCCTATATAGGCACGGGTTCTAATCCCAGTTGCTCCACTTCCCACCCAGCTCCCTGCTTGTGGCCTGGGAAGGCAGTTGAGGACAGCCCAAAGCCTTGGGGATCTTGCACCTGTGTGGGAGACTCAGAAGAAGCTCCCAGCTCCTCATCAGCTCAGCTCCTGCCTTTACGGCCACCTGGGGAGTGAACCAGTGGATGGAAGAATCTTCTGCCTCTCCTCCGTAAATCTTCCTAATAAATTTAATAAATCTTTTTTTTTTTTAAAGTCTGCACACATCATCTTACAGGCTAATGCTTTAACACAAATGCAAGCATTAAATCAGGTATAATAATGTATCTGATCTTTAAATCAACTTGTTAGAAAGTTTAGAAATGGGCCCGGTGCAGTGGTGCAAGTGGTTAAAGGTCCTCACCTTGCACCCCGGGATCCCATATGGGCGCCGGTTCTAATCCCGGCAGCCCCGCTTCCCTTCCAGCTCCCTGCCTGTGGCCTGGGAAAGCAGTCGAGGACGGCCCAAAGCTTTGGGAACCTGCACCCGCGTGGGAGACCCGGAAGAGGCTCCTGGCTTTGGATCGGCATAGTATCGGCCCGTTGCGCTCACTTGGGGAGTGAATCATCAGACGAAGATCTTCCTCTCTGTCTCTCCTCTCTGTATATCTGCCTTTCCAATAAAAAAATAATAAAAATAAATCTTTAAAAAAAAAAAAGAAAGTTTAGAAATGGTTAATTTATTTGGCTGCTTAGGTTATGGCCAGGGTCTCCTACCACAGAATTTAACCAAGATTAGTATATAATAGATAAGGTTTACCATTTATCTTCTAAAAAATAGTAGGAATTCAGTGAGAAAATATTTTGAAATAATTTGCTTGTAGACACTAGCTATTATTGCTATTTTATATCTTAAGAACATAAAAAGTCATTACAATGATTCAGGCAAAATATAACAAATTGAACATATACTGATTTGCAAAAAATTATGAAATCCGGAAAAAGACATTCATTACCCTTCAAATTATGAAAAACTGCAAAGTAAGACTTCAAATCTGAAGTCACCCTTTTATACAATAATAGGGCATATAAAGCTCTTCTAAATGTAACAGCAAATAATGAACAGGGATAATCCAAAGCTTACATACCTTGTTGTATAAGTAACAATTTGAAAACATTGTATTAAAGTCTTCTATACATTCTGAAGCCTTCACATAGTATTTATTCTCCAAGCGCTTCTTAATTGTATTTAAGTCCATTGGGTTTTTTATAATGCTATAATAATCCTATGAAGAAATATTACATGTCATCACAGTATATTCACTACAACTATTGGTACACAAAGAAATTTAATAGCTATACACTTTAGTTGGGGAGAGCAGTTGAGTATCTTCAAGAAGTCATATTCTGGCAAACTGACTCTGGAAAACAGGAAAAGGGACATGAAGATGATGACTCCTGTGGCATTATTTTTCAGAGGGGAAAAAAAAGCTGTTTTTCTTGGGATTAACCAAGAATTAAAGAGTAGAACGACTGTGAAAAAGAAAAAAACCGAAGGACATGAGGAAAAAGAAATAGTATTTGCACGTGGCAGAGCCAGGGTAAAATTCCAGCTCTACAACCAACTAGCTACACACTCTCCAGTACTTAACTGTTCTGTGACTGTGTGTGTGACACCACTAACTCTGCCACAAAGAACCAAGACCGACTCGAGCAGGAGGTACCCTCCATGAAGACCCTGCTTTAACAGGTCAAGCAACATCCACTACAGCAACAAGAAAATGCACTCTAAAATTTATCACAAAACTATTAAAACACCAATTCTTCATCTTTAGAAAAAAGAGTTTGAATTTTAGGGGAAAATATTCACTGGGCTACTCTTTTATTGATACTATTATTATTTAGTTTACTTAGTGTTACCAAGTCAGGCATGTATTAAGCCAAGTGCATTTCATAATATTACAGACTATTTCTTACAAAGAGCTACAGGCATTTTCAGTGATAATTAGCATAACTGCAGACACACTTACAGGCAGCTTCAACTTCACGGCATCAACCGGCTGCTGAAAAGGCCAGGAGAAACTGTGCTTCCATAAAGCCTTTAGGACAACTTTTTGCAGGTACTGCAGTTGGTTGGTCATTCGCCCATTTTTTTTGGCATTTATAAACTCTGGGGGAGGAGGGTTCACAACAGAGATCTGTCGACTCGGCAGAGACATTCTTAACTGCTTTCACTCCAGATACCCAAATGTGTTCTACAAGCACGTGTCCTGAAAAAAAAAAAAAAAAAACTAAAAACCAGAACAGCAGTTGTTGTATTTTGAAACGCATCACGGTAAGTGGGGGGCTGCGGGAGTGGGGAGAAACCCTCCAAATGATGGCTGGACCAATTTTAAACAAACACAAACCTTTTCCTACACAAGTCGTACAAATGGTTTCATTATGTATGTCTTACTTAGTCCTAGGTGGTTTAAACTGTTTCAGCATTTCACAGTACTTTCTGCCTTTTTAAAGACACAATGTGAAGTCTCAGCAGGAAAAACAGATAAATTCCTAGTAAAAAGAAATTACAGGAAATTGTTATATTGCCAGTAGACAGGCATTCAGCAATTATTAATTCAATGAAGGGAGAAAATAAGGGATTTTTCTGGCTAATTTTTAAACCTAACTAATTAGAATATTGTCAAATGTTCATTAACATGCCATCCTATGGTATATATTACTACCTCTAAAATGCAACATGAGGTAGGTATTTGGCTTAAAGCTTAATATATCTATGACCCATTACAGAGGGCTTGATTTTGGCACCTGCCTCAACTCCGGCCTCCCTGCTAATTCACATGCCCTGAGAATCTGCGACGATGATGGTGGCTCAACTGAATGCGTTACTGCCATTCACGTGGGCAATCTGAATTGAATTACAGAATCCTGGCTTCAGCTCTGACCCAATCCCACCCCTGGTGGGCATCTATGGAATAAAACAGTAGATGGGAGGTCTGTCTCTACACTATCTGTTTAAGTAAATAAAACACTTCTAAATCTCGTATTTCAGAAAGATGGTATCTAATATGGCATCTTTACACTACACTCTCACTTTAAGGATAAAAGAGCTAGGGGACTATCAATGCATACATCATCTCCAATACAGCAGCAAGATGAAAAGTAAGACTCCTGAATGGATTGCTGTTCAGAGAAACTGACCCTAGCCTTCAGCCAGTGTATCTGCTCACATTAAAGCATTGTCAGTTCTCTAGTCTGACTGTACATCAATTTCTTGGAGGTATTTTTCATTTTAATTGTGACCAAAGGTATTTAGAAATATGTATCTTAGCCATTTTTTTAAGTGTATTTATTTGAAAGAGTTAAGAGACTGACGGAAGAGACAGATGGATCTTCCATCCACTGGTTTACTCCCCAGATGTCTTCAACTGCCTGAACTGGGCTACTCTGCCAGGAACCAGGAGCTTCATCTGCATTTTCCTTCCATGTGGTGGCAGCAGCCCAAGGATCCATACCAAACTCTGCTGCCCTCCCAGGCACATTAGCAGGGAGTTGGATTGGAAGTGGGATAGCAGGGACTAAAATCAGTATACATATTAGATGCCCACCTACAACACCGTGCTGGCAGCTTTGGCATTTTAAAGATTCATATATTTATTTGAAAGTCAGAATTGAAGGACAAAGAAGAGTTTCTATCTGCTGGGTCACTCCCCCAGTTGGCCATTAACAGTAACAGCGGGGCAGAACAAAGCTAGGAGCTTCATTCAGGTCTCCTTAGTGGGTGGCTGGATCCAAACACTAAGGCATCTTCCCAGGCCACTAGCAGGAAAGGGAATCAGAAGCAGAGCAGGGAGGACACCAGATCCATATGAGATGTTGCTTTACTGACCATGCCAAAATACAGTCCTATATCTGAACCATTTTTCCAAGTAAACCGTTTGTCGTCTTAAGCAGAGAGATTTCTGTGAAATCAACTTTTGGATACTTTTTCATTTTTGCCAAAGTGAAATTTTCCATCCATTAAGAACAGTTCCCTCTTCTGAACATCACCATTTTGCTTTTGGTTGTATGTGTTTCATTTTATTTATCCATTTATCCATGAATGATCCTAAGGTCATGTCCATCTCTCAGCTGTAGTAAACAGTGTGCCTATAAATAGGGGTGTACTAACCTCTCAAGACCTTGTGTTCAAGACCCTAGGGTTTAGACACCCAGAAATGCAAAGTGGAATTGCTGTAGAGTGGGGAATAGTATATTCTAATCTTTCTGGGGACCCTCATCTCTTTTTTTTTTTTCATAGTGGCTTTAATAGTTTACATTTTCACCAACAGTTTTTTTTTTTTAACGATCCTAAAAAAGTATAAATTGTTTTTAAAAATACCAGATTTAAGGCCCTAATGTTCAGAGACAGGGCTTGGGAATACACTTGTTTTTAAGGTCCCTGGTGATTTGTATGGGCATTTAGGATTGGCTACCACTACACTGAAATCCAGAGGTGACTGTCAATGTCATAATTACTTTCCTCTTATGGATTTCACTTGTCATCTCACACATATGAAACAAAAAAATAACAAGAGAGAGAAAGTGATGAGGATGTCCTAGGGTGCTACAATTAAACTATCTTTTACCCATGGGTTTGTACTTAAAATGAGCCTAATTTGGGTGTCCCAACCGCTATACCTTCCATTATCCACAAAGGCTAACCAGGCTGAACTGTATCGCAGATTAAGTTGTTGCCATTGAAGTTCATGTACTATGTGCTACATTTTAATACATTTCTTTTCTCAAACTTGTTGTAAGATATATCTGTTAATAGTTGATTCATTTTCATTGCTGCATAATATTCTACTGTGGAATTATTAGCAGACTATAACCACTCCTGATGGGACTTTGGGGTTATTTCCTGCTTTTGACTATACTACATAATACTATGAATATGCTTTACCAAATATGTATTTATGCATATGTGCTGCAAATGAACCCAGGTTCATGGGTTATATGCATAAGTTCATCTTTAGTAGATGCTACCAACAGTTTTCCAAATTATTGTACCAATTTATTTGCAGCAGCAGTTTCAGGATGCCAATCATTCCATATCATTGTTACAATTATTATTAATTTTCCATTTCAACCATTTTGCTGGGTGTGTCAAGAAATCTGTAATTTTGTTTTTCTCTCATGAGCACCTCTTTGTTTACTGGTCACAATTTCTCAAACAGCTGCAAAGCAGTCTACCCTTTTCCCATCAAGCTGTCACTGTCTTATGGATGTGCTGGAGTTCTTCATGTATTCTGAATCCAACACCACTGCTGGCATGCGCACACATCTTCCACGTGATGGATCACATATCCAGTCTCTTAACAGTATTCTTAGATGAATTGAGTTACTGTTAATGAGGAACATTTATCTACTTACGATATTCTGAAATTGAATGAATCTCTCTGGAAAAGTTCAGTTTGGGTGGTTTTTATTTATTAGCTACAAAATTCAAATGCAGAGAACCATAGTAGGCTTTAAAAAGTCTTATCTCTAGATCTTGCGAAGTTGCTCAATTAGCCAATCCTCCATCTCCAAGTGCTAGGATCCCAGTGTCCCAGGGGCTCCACTTCCCATCCAGCTCCCTGCTTGTGGTCTGGGAAAGCAATCGAGGATGGCCCAAAGCCTTGGGACCCTGAGCCCATGTGGGAGACCTGGAAGAGGCTCCTGGCTCCTGGCTCAAAGTTCTCAGTGGATCTCTGGCCACTGCAGCCACTTGGGGAATGAATCAGCACACAGAAACAATTTTTTTTCTATCTTTCCTTCTCTTTATAAATCTGCCTTTGCAATAAAAAGTTAAATCTTTAAAAAAAAAACTGGTGCATTTCAATGTTACTAGCAATTTTGAGTAACCTAAATAAAGGGAAGTACAATTCCAGAAGAGCACAGAAAATAGGAGAGCAGAGTAAGATGGTGGTTTGGGCGGACAGGGGAGTGGAGCAGGAGCAGGCAGTGAGATGTTAGATTTCTCTCAGTTCTGAAAACTGGCTAATTTTGTTTTTCTTACTACAAGGCAGATCGAGAGAGAGTGAGAGACTATGAACAGAACTCTTTCATCTGCTGGCTCACTGCCCAAACGAATGGCTGCAATAGCCAGAGTGGCTCTAGATCCAAGTCAGGAGCCAGGAACTCCATCTGGGTCTCACAGGTAGGTGGCAGGCACTTAGACTGGAGCTATCATTTGTTGCCTTCCCAAGGACACATTAACAGGAGGCAGAAGTAGCACTTGAACCTAGAACATAGATATGCCAGTACTGTGGCTCAAACCAGTGGGGTGCAATGCCCAATCCAGGGTAAGGACTGAAATATAATTTTTTATATGTAGGCAGATGAAGCAGGGAAACCAGTTAGTGGCTCGGAGCTAATCCAGCTACAGAGCACAGAAAAAATCAACTAGGCTAGCTGGGAGTCTCCCTCTTCCCCCTTAGCATCTAACTGCACCAACAGACTTCTCAAAGCAGACTCAGGTATGTGCCTTCTTTAAAGATTTATTTATTTGAAAGTTAGATTTATAGAGAGGAGACAGAGAGGATGATCTTTCATCTACTGATTCACTCCCCACACGACTGCAATGGTGTGAGCTGTGCCAATCTGAAGACAGAAGCCAGGAACCTCAAGCTTCCCTATGGATCTCCCAACACAAGTGCAAGCTAACAAGACTTTGGGCTGTCCTCTACTGCTTTCCCAGGCCACAAGCAGGGAGCTGGGTGGGAAGTGGTGCAGCTCCCATATGGGATCCTGAGCATGCAAGGTGAGGATTGAGCCACCAAGCCATGGCACCAGCCCCAGTATGTTCCTTCTTTCAAGTACTTCCCAACTCCCAGCATGCTGCAGTGCACTAGCAAATCCTTCAGCTTCTCCAAAATAAAGGCCAGTGTCACTGTTTCTCACATCTTACAAGGACAGATGGCATCACTGCCCAAAATAACCTGGTCGATTTGTCTCTTTGATCTCATTTCCTTTTACTCTTTTCACCCAACTGATTCAAGCCTCTCTTCTTGACAACATAGCAGCCTCAAGTGAGGTTAGGTTAGGTTAGCCTGAAATGCTCTCCTCCCAGACCTATTCACAACTGCAGTTGTAGCTTAAGCAGTCCTTCTCTCCCCTTCTCCACAGCTGCACGACCACGGGTTATAAGGACTTGTTTACTGTATGGTTCCCTGCCTTCACCCACCTCCAGTCCCATCTGTGCAGAGATTTTGTTGCCTGCCCCTACTCAGAATCACCTGCCTCGGGCCCAGTGCGATGCCTCAATTGGTTAATCCTCCCTTTTATAAACAGTGGAATCCCACATGGGTACCTGTTTGTGCCCTGGCTGCTCTACTTCCCATCCAACTACCAGCTCATTACCTGGGAAAGCACTATAGGACAGCCCAAAGCCTTGGAACCCTGCACCTCCATGGGAAATGTGGATGCTACTGGCTTTGGATCTGGCTGTTGCAGCCATGTGGGGAGAGAACCAGCTGATGGAAAATCTTTGTCTCCTCCTCCCTGGAATCTGCCTTCCCAATAAAAATCTTGAAACACCTGCCTCACATATGAGGGCCTGGGATCAAGTCCCTTCTCTATGCTTCCAATCCTTTTCCTACTGATGCATTGGGGAGGCAGGTTTAACTGAATCCCAAATGGAGTCCCCAGCTCCTCACTATGGCCTAACCCGTACCTAGCTGGTGTCATCATTTGGTTAGGAAAACAGAAGGAAAAGATCTATTTTATTTTTATTGGGAAGTGAGATTTATGGAGGAGACAGATGTTCCATCCGCTGGTTCACTCCCCAAGTGGTTGCAACAGCTGGAACTTAGCTGATCTTAATCCAGGAATGAGGAGCTTCTTCTGGCTCTTCTTTGTGGGTTCATGGTCTCGAGGCTTTGAGTCCTTCTTGACCGCTTTCCCAGGCCCCAAGTAGGGAACTGGATGAGAAGTGGATCAGCTGGGACATGCACTAGCATCCTTATGGGATCTCAGTGCATGCAAGATGAGGAATTAGCCACTGAGGCATCACACTGGGCCCTGTCATTCTGCCTTCCACACACACACACATATATGTATTTAAGAGCTGGGTCACTGCTTGGCACGGCTAGTTAAGCCACAGCCTGCAATGCCAGCATCCTATATGGATACCAGTTTGTGTCCCAGCTACTCCACCTCCAATCCGCCTCCCTACCAATGGTCTTGGCAAAGCAGATGATCCAAGTGCTTGACCCTACCACCTGTGTGGAAAACCCACAATGCTGTTGGCTTCCCAGTGGTATAGCCCCAGTCATTACGGACATTTAGGGAGTGTACCAGAGGGGAAGCACTTTCTCTGTAGCTCTCCCAAACAGATAACTCACCAAAAAATATTTGCTCTATATGATCTACCACTTCTATGTGTATTTAGATCCAAAAGTAATGAAATCAGTGTTGAGATATAGGGGCACCTGTATTCACTGTAGAATAACTCAAAAATAGTCAAGAGATGGAGACAATGCAAGTGTCCAATGGCAGATGAGTGCAGACACTAGTAAATACCCATAGTATTACTGAGCTGCAACAAAGGCAATCTTTCACTTGCAACATGGAAGACATTATGAACAGACCAGAGACAAACACTGCAGGTCCCACTTATCTGTGGAATCTAAGAAAGTAATGGCATATGTAGTGATGGATGTATTCATCTGACTGACACTCATTATATGATGTATAACTAAAATTAGCATACCGCACACTTTGATTTATGTAACTATTATGCAGTATGTTTTGTTTTGTCTTATGGGTTTATTTTTAACATTTGCTTTAATCTAGAATTAGCTTCTGCTTCACATTCTAGTCAACACTTAAATGTTGATTAAAAATTCCTTCCCATACAAAACATGCACACAAATATTTCTAATAGCTTTATTCATAATTGTCAAACAGCAAAAGCAACCAAGACACCCTTCAGCAGGTAGGTGGATAAACAAACTGTGGTGTAGCCATGCAACGGCTACAAAATGAGCTATCAACTCACAAAAATACATGAAGGAAATCTGACTAACCAAAGAAGCCAATCTGAAAAGGTTATAAATTATAGGATTCCAACTATGTTACCTTCTAGAAAACCATGAAGACATTAGAAAGGGGTTTGAGGAGGAAGAGGTCAATGAGCAGAGGATTTCTAAAGCTCTCAAGCTATCCAGTGCCCTAGGACCATGGTGGATACATTTGTCACAATTCAACAGACAGCACAGTGCTACAGGTGAACCCTGCTGGATACTGCCATGTCAATGCAGATTCACCCAGTCTTATTACACCGACCCTGCTATGAGAGATCGATTTCAGGGAAACTGTTTTTGGGAGCAGAGGCTGTATAAATCTAGTACCTGCTGTTTAAACACAGACTGAAAACTAGTTTTGGCTTCAATTTCGCTGGGTGGTTAATCTCATCTAAAAAAAAGGAAAGAAAAATAAAGTGAAAAAAAAAAAAAGGTTGTCTTTAAAAACAAACCAATCCCTTCTCCTGCCATCTGCTAGACTGCTAGCATAAAATCTTTCCACCCAAGATTTGGTATCATCTGGCTTTTCCAACTCTTGAAACTCTTCTCCTTCAAATCGTTCATACCCTGCAACACTCCACATTCTCACTGGTCTTCCTCAGCTAAATACATCACAACCATAAAAGTTTTTGTCAAAAATATTTAACTGAATATCAAATTTTTGAGACCTATCTTTCATTTAACAAGAGAAATTGGGGGCTGAAATTGTGCTATTCCCAACATGAAAGTTCCTGACCATGTCAAAGTATTTAAAGCATCCAAGATTAAATAAAACAAAACATTTGTCAACATTTCAAGAGCTAACTAACTAGCAGGCAAGTGAGACTGCACTCATGGCAGAGTTTTGTGGGATGGTATTAGAATACACAAAATGAAGCAATTAGGAAAGGGGCAAATCCAGATAAGGAATATTCTACAGGACAACAGGCAGCTCTTTTAGAAAAAGTCCTGGCCATGAGCCCTGGCCTGAGTTCCCACTACCTCACTTTCAATCTAGCTCCTTGCTAACATGCCTGGAAAAACAGAAGATGGCCCAGTAATCCACGTGGGAGACCAGATGCAGTTCCCAGGTCCTGGCTTCAGTGTGCCCAGACCCAGTGGCTATCTCTCTCTCCCTGTTATTGTAACTCCACATTTCAATGCATAAATAAGTCCTTAGCTTTAAGAGCTTCTTAAAAATTTAATCATTTCTAATAAAAATTTAAAATGCCAGCACAATGATCCGGTAACAGATCAGACAGTTTTCAGCTTATCTTGACAACAATCAGTGAGTCATAACCAATTGTGATGTGTCACAAGCAATTTGTCCTTTATTTTACATATATACAGTTTTTCTTGAAATCACTTACACTCTAATACACTATACATGAGGGAAAAAGTATGGAGTTATACTTACATGTGTCACTGCAAACAATCCATAGTCACTCTGCACATTTGCAGAGAACATGACATTTTACTGTTATTTCTGCCTTCAAAAGTACTTTGCCCATGGAAAGATTTCTAAAATGAAGGATGTCATGGGCAGACAAAATCTAATGCCAAGAATATGCTATGTAGTAACCACCAGTTATTATTCAATGACAATGTATCATGCATGATTACAGTTCTTCTTTAAGACAATCCTGTAACAGTGTAGCCACCATCAAGTCAAAACATTGTGATCCCATGAATAAACTGCTGAAAAGTCTTATTCCACTGCCCTCCCAGTAACTCATAATCTTGGGGTGAGGGGAAAGATAACGTACTACAGAAGAATTTTTAAAACATCAGTTTGAATTTTGACATTCATGTGATATGAAATTTTGACAAAAACTTTGTGAACTATATACTGCTCTATCTTGTCCTATAGTCAATCAGATCCCCTGCTTAGAAATTAACTCTTACTAGGCTTTTTTTTTAAACCTAATTCATCAGAGCAGCTGACTCATTACTGCCCCTTCTTTTTAATGACTGCATCTATATGCAGATTTTAGGACTATTGCAAATCTTAGTAAATACAGCATTGTATATACAGACCAACATCACTGGATACATTCCTATTTACAATGTATGGGTCAGAGCTGTCAAGTCTTTATTACCCCAGAGCTTAGTTCAGCTTATTTCCACCATTTATGTGTACAGATAGAAGTAATCCTCTACGACAAAGCAAGATCTTGAGGCGGCTATGAATATTTTAGCTGCCCCTTAAAAATACAATAGGAGACTTTCTAAAAAAATGTTTCCAGACTATTCCAAGTAAGCATAAAAATTTATCTCCAATTATAAAGGGTCACTGGGATGTGTCAGCAAGGTCCCACTTTTTTGACAGATTCCCCTCCTTTCAATAAAAACACTTGTTTTTCCAATTCCCAGTGATTAGTATTACTAACCACAGTGCTCAGGGTTAAATTGTGTCGCTCCATATGTACCCTGAAGCTTATTGAAAACAATGAAGCATCCAATTTTAGATAACAGCAGATCTTTTGGAAACTTTGAAGAATGACTGCTTCCAAAACATTCCATTTCAGTAACTGGCCAAATGTCAGTGTGGGTCTTCCCCAGGCATGGAAGCAGTGCAGTATATGGCCTGCACACTCAAACTTCTAGGGCTCCCTGCTCTATGATAAACTCACACATTTGCTCCAAATGTGGCATCATCAAATGAGCAGTTTCCCCTTCAAGGAGAAAACAGAGTGAACAGAACAGTCAGTTGGTTATGGTCAAATAGAGGAAGCCCTTAGGAAACCCAAAAGATTTACAATTCCAGTGCTTCACCTGCTCCTCAGTCCTAGAGCCAAGTGCCCTTCCTGTTCAGACTCCTTCTCCAAGGAGGCCAAGACGATATCCACTGCAGGTCCCTGTGTCTTCCCTGCACCTGCAGCTTCTAGTCCTTCTGTCTTAGTTCAGAACGTGAGAAAATACGTTCTGTGCTGCTGAGGAATCAATACACAACTTTCTTTTCCCAGGGGCTGATGCAATAAGCTTCCTTCAGTTTTTGTTTTATGTCCCTGCACCCCCCAATGACCTGCTCAGAATCATCACTATTTCTATGCTAGCCTCACTGCCTGTCTTCTGTATTTCATACCAGGGCATTGAAAACAATGGTATCTTTGGTGATGGCACAGTTGCATACCAAGCTAATCCTCCACCTGTAGTGCTGGCATCTCATATGGGTGTCAGTTTATATCCTGGCAGCTCTACTTCTGACCCAGCTGCCCGTTTATGGCCTGGGAAGGGCCGCAGAGGTAGTCCAAGTCCTTGGGTCCCTGCACCGACAAGGGAGACCCAGAGAAAACTCCTGGCTCCTAGCCTTATATCAGCTCAGGTCCAGCTCTTATAGCCATTTGGGGAGTAAATCAGCAGATGGAAGATCTCTAGCTCTGCTTTTTTCTGTAAATCTACCTTTCCAATTAAAATAAATCTTAAAAATAAAATAAACCTGTGTCTTTGCTTTCCATTCCGCTCCCAGTTTCCCCAGTCCTCTAAAACTCACTTCTTGCAGAGGTGAGCACTTACTTACCATACTTCGGCGTTAAATCCTGTCTTCCTTGACTTGTCAGCAATCTGTCTCTAGACCATGATTGTGATGCTCCTAAAACTCCTCTGGTTTCCAGGATACCATTTCCCAAATTCTATGTGTTAGTTGTTAAATATTTATAAAGCACCTACAAGGACGCCAACCACAAAACCAGGGATTGAGACACACACAGTGTCCTCAGAGGCTTAGAAAGCCTAGAAACAGGCCATCACAATGTACTTATGCTTACACAGAGATGGGACTGGAGCACTAAAGGAGGGGCAGGGTGGGTCTCCCTCCTTAATCCCATCACCTGCTAATCTATTCAGGCCCCCCAGAGGTTCTCCCACCCACCCACGCACCCCCCCCCTTTTTTTCCTTTTCTCTTTACATACACCCCTGCCCTATGCCAACTTACCCACTCCAAGGTACCAAATACCAACTACACAATCTGAATTTAGTGTTCTAGGTACCTACTGTGCTTTGGTTCTGCAGCCCTAAGCCATTGCTTCCGTTAAAATCACTTATCACTTCCTGCATGAACTTAACGCAAAGATCCTCCTGTGTTGTATGACAAACTTTTTTGAGCCACCTTGGCATTCTCCCTGAACTCTTGCCACTGCACAAACTCCCAACACCGCACCACTCAAATTTTACCAGTGTTTCACTGTTCACAAGCCCAAGCCTTGAACGTTCTGTACCGACTTTCTTCATTAACACTTGGGCTTAACTTCCATGGGTTCCACCAGAGCCAGCTTTTACTGCCTCCACTGTCAAATCACGCTCACCCTCTTCGACCCACTCAAGCTGTTCCCACGGGTGCCGCAGCACCCTGTAACTTACCTTGTCTTCCAACGGCCAGTGCTTGACCACCGATTCTGGCACTACCCAACAAAACACGGCATAGCAATTTATGGCGGTAATAAAGTCCGTTACCGACGTAGGAGTCAAAGACAGGATTTTCTCTGTCCCAAACGAGAACTCCTAGAATGAGCTCCCAAAGGCCGCCAGTTACAACTCCCTTTCTTCTGTACTTCACAAAGACAGTGCAGGCACCAATTAAACACATTCAAGAGCTACGAGGCTGCTACCTCCTAGCTGCAACCATGAGTTTATTGTGGGGTGAGAACACGCAGTTTGAGAATCCAACTTCTACCACTTTTTCGAAACCTCCTTCTCACCTTTCCCACCATAAAAAAAACAAGCATTTTGAAAGGGACAGAGAAAAAAAAAACTAAGGGTTCAGTTGGCTACAATCTTACAGATGGTAAGGCCGAAGAAAAGCCACCAACGGCTCCCCCGGGCCGTGAGCACCCACCCAGAGGGCTTCCCCAACGGCCCTGCACGTACTTCAACGCCCAGGGGGGAGGGGAGAGGCAAAACAGAACAAAAACCGTTGTTCCCACGGAAGGGCGCTTTCCCAAGCCAGCCCCAACAGGACCCTGGTGAGAAGAGGCTGTGTTACCTCTTAAGAAAAGGACTTCACGGGACCGTCCCGTCAGGGTGCAAAAGATGAAGCGGCGCAGGCAGGCCGTTCTCCACCGACACTCGCCGCCAGCCTTCTCCCCAATGGCGGCCGCTTGCTGGGAGGGACTGCGCGCCTTTATAGGGGCCGCGAGGCGGGCCGCACGCCCATTGGCCCGCGTGCGTCACGTGGCTGCAGTGGGCGGGGCGGAGGCGCAGCCAGAAGGCCTTCCAGGATGCGCACCTGCGCTTGGGTTGAGCCCTCCCAGATGCCACACAGGGAGTTGGGGCTAGAGGGTATTAGGAAGGAAGAGCGCCGCCCTGGAGGCTTTTGCTGGCAAAAAAACACTATTTTTCAGTCTGCCTGGGGCTGTTTTAGTGGTGATTTGAGTTTTCAGGTTTTCTCCACCCCACCCCCATCTCCTGTTTCTTGTAGGGAGTGTTTAGTAGGTAGCAGCTGAGGCTGGAGCCTGTGCGAGCTAATTATCTGGGAAACAGCCCTGAAGAGCTGTTTGGAAACAACTGTGGGCTGATAGTGCTAGGACTTGAAAACTACCTACAGTAGTGGCCTTGGAGATTCTGTTGCAAACAGTGTCTGCATTCTTGGTGCTCATTTCTGGATGAATGGATGGATGGGTGGGTGGATGGGGGAAGAGGCAGGGGATGGATGAGAGAGTCCAAAGCAGTTTCCGATGTGTTTAAGGACCAGAAGGATCCAAAATTATTCTGGGTCTGGCGCACAGGCCTAGTGGCTAGAGTCTTTTCCTTGCAAACACCAGGGATCTCGTATGGGCACTGGCTCATGTCCCGGCTTCTCCACTTCCCATCCAGCTCCCTGCTTGTGGCCTGGGAAAGCAATAGAAGTCAGCCCAAAGCCTTGGGACCCTGCACCTGTGTGGGAGACCTGGAAGAAACTCCTGGCTCAGCTTCAGCTGTTGCAGCCGCTTGGGGAGTAAACCAGCACATGGAAGATCTTTGTCTCTCTTCTCTGTAAATCTGCCTTTCCAATATAAATAAATAAATTTTAAAATATGTTCTGAAGAAGCAATGCTATGCAACAGGATTTGAGAGTTGAAATGGGCTCTCTGTGTTCTTGGCTTGTTTGTTTTGGGGGTGGGTGGGGCTTGCCTATCTTGTTATTCTGGGAAAGGCAGCAACCTTGAGAAGTAGGGTGTGGCGCTTCTGTGAAGGATGCCCTGAGGCCAGAGACAAGCTGACCCCGCTGATGGGTGCCTGTTTGGGACTAAAGCTGAGGCGGGGAAGGGAAGGCTGCTGCTAGGGAGAGCAGCTTAGGGATCTTTTTGGAAAGCCTTATCTCCTCATGTCACTTGCCCTGAATTCTTTCGATTGCCCTTTTTTTGAGGATAAATAGCAACAACCTTAAGATGAGCCACAAGACCATGGCTTCTTTTTCTTTTTTTAAAGATGTATTTATTTGGGGAGAGCATTAAGCACAGACCACATCTGTGAGAAGCCATAAACGTTCTTTCTAGAGATTAATTTGGTGGGGTGGGGGGGGAGAGTGCCATCCCTAACTACCTTCAAGTGGCAGCATCCCATATGGGAACCAGTTTTGTGTCCTGGCTGGTCCACTTCTGATCCACCTCCCTGTTTATGGCCTGGGAAAGCAGTCAAGAATGGCCCAAGTCCTTAGGACTCTACACTCAGGTGACTGTCGCTGTCCCGCAGCGATGGACTTGGTGCACGCATGGACCCTGAGTGATGGTCAAAGCCGAAGTTTATTAGCGGCATCAGACTTTATACACTGAGGGCCGTATGGGATAAGGGAGGAAGTATTGAGCTCACCAACAAAACCCAGTAACAGTTTCTATGCTTTTGTTTGGAACTCCTTTTGTCTTGCATATTCCACCAAGTGTTCTCACACACATACAGTCCATTCAACTGTTCTTATACAAATGATATCCAATCAGGTATACAAGAGTTAGCCATTCGGTGGTTCTCATGCAAATATTATCCAATCAACTGTAATCCTGTGCTCGCTGACCCTCTAGGGTCACAATGTCGTCCTACAGGTGACTCAGAAGAAGCTTGTGGCTCCTGGCTGTGGCTTCAGATCAGCTTAGCAAGCTGTTCTGGCCATTTTGGGAGTGAACCAGTGGGTGGAATATCTTTTTCTCTGTTACCTTCTTCTCTCTCTGCAAATCTACCTTTTTTATATAAAAACAAATAAATCTTTGAAAAATTATTTGCTTTTTTGTTTTTGAAAGAGAGAGAAAGGGAAAAAGAGATCTTTCATCTAATAGTCCACTCTCCATATGATTGCAATGACCGGGGCTGGGCAAGGCTGAAGAAAACAGCAGCCAGGAAGGCCACACGCTCTCCCATGTGAAGTGATAGGGGCTCAGGCACTTGGGCCGTCTTCTGTTGCTTTCCTGAGAGGCATTAGCAGGGTCCTAGATTGAAAGTGGAGCAACCACAATGAGACGCTGGTGTCACAAGCAACAGCCTAACCCACTGTGCCACAAGACCAGCCCCATAAAGCCATAGCATTTTTATGGTACCATCACAAAGCTGAAGAAAACAGGTTATCATTTTGAGAGAGTTCTAAGATTAAAAGATACGCAATGGGCCCGGTGCCGAGGCCTAGTGGCTAAAGTCCTCGCCTCAAATGTGTCAGGATCCCATATGGTTCTAATCCTGGCAGCTCCACTTCCCATCCAGCTCCCTGCTTGTGGCCTGGGAAGGCAGTCAAGGATGGCCCAAAGCCTTGGGACCCTGCACCTGTGTGAGAGACCTGGAGAAAGTTCCTGGCTCCTGGCTTGAGATCGACGCAGCACCGGCTGTTGTGGCTGCTTGGGGAGTGAATCATCGGATGGAAGATCTTCCTCTCCATCTCTCCTTCTCTCTGTATCTCTGCCTTTCCAATAAAAGTAAATAAATCTTTAAAAAAGAAAAAGATGAAATAAAAACTAGTTTTACTACTAGTACGATGAAGCTGTATGAGCAAAGCAACATGCAGCAGGCCTGGCTGACAGGTACAGAGAACTCTGCGTTCCCATGAATTCCTGGCCTTCTGAGATGAGAAGGCTGCCCGTGGTCTGGCCCAAGAGAAGCCATCACAGAGCAGGAGTTGTGTTTGATCCAGTCGGGTCTCCAAAGGAGCTGAGCCGATGGCCTCCCTGTTACCTCGCTGGGGTTTGGAACTCAGGAGTCTGTGGGGTCTGACAAGCTTGCATCGCTGGAGAGCAGGAATCCCTCAGTCGCCTCCCTTCTCACTAACGCTCACCTGCCTGAAGCCGCTCTTCCTTCGTAAGCAGCTCTTCTTTCATCTCTTCTTGCAATCATGCCTCTCTTTTGCCTTCTCTTTGAGTCTCTTCATTTCATGCATGGCAACATCACACGCTTTCTAAAACCCTTCGGAAATTTCATTAGATTCTCACAGAGTCTGTATCTATCTTGTGCGTTGTGGCTCAGTAGAAGTGAAGAAATCTGTAGAATCCTGCTATCACGTCTCTCTGTAAATTAATGGCCATGAATTCCAAACAGGCAATCATTTTACATTTTAAAAAATATATAGTTATTTTTATTGGAAAGGCAGATGTACAGAGAAGAGGAGAGACAGGGAGGA